GCAGGTCTGTGAGGCAATTTGCACAGGATTCTGATAATCCAGTTTCGAAGATGAGATCTCTTATAATTATGTGCGTTGACCGTCGAGATGTGGGAGCGGGTGAAGCCTCTAAGATGATATTTGGTGGTATGCACTGCCAGTTATCGTTCATTTTTGTGAGTTTATCCCTCGAAGTCAACACGCAACAGTTGCGCATTAATAAAACTACCGAAGAGGTTATCATTTAAGACACGTGCTGACTCTTTTGCAATAAGCGCACGAGTTCAGCCCGAATATCTTAAAAACCTTGGAGCAACATCCTAACTTGATCGAATTTTGTCGGAATTTTGCAATCAAGGGTACCAAATTGATCAAACGTTCGAAATCGGATAGTACGATCGTTTTAACCTTTCCATGTTATAGTAGAAACAGCCGATCACCTACTTACAATCTTTTTTGTAATAATTCCTTGATCAAATATTCGTCTCGGTGTTCTGAAAGCCTTGGAGAGCTAGATGATAAATATGATGCCTAAGACAGATGGGATAATTTTCTGGAAACGATTGATACTAATCCTTTCAGAAATTGTCGCGGGGACGTTGAGCTCCGGAAATTGCTGGATGGATTAAGATAGGGGTAATTATAAGCTATGGAAGAATTAGCCTGTTAACGTGAGGTTAGAAAACCTGAGCAATGGATGGTAGCAGCTAGAATTTTCCACGTAATGGGCAACAGGTCTTATCTCAACCACTTGTTGACCCCAACTCCGTTTGGCGCGCAAACGTCCAGTTGAGTCACACCGAGGTATCGAATGCAAATGCTTCCAATTGGCAAATTCTTATGACCACACAATAACCTATGGATTTCTCGTATGCTGAACTTCCAGCTGTTAGTCGTCGCGATTTGAATCAAATGAAGATGTAATGTTTCGATATGGTTATTATATCTGTGCAAAATGAACATCATTTTTTTATGATCATTAATGGGACGGCATGGGCTGGTAAGTCATACACTATATGTGAAGTTTCTTCCGAACTTAATCGTGAAGATGTTGTTTGTGGATCTTTTACGGCGAAAGCGTCCTTTAAATTCGTGATTTTACCTTACGTTCATTATTTTTACACTGGTTAAGGCGGGATCTCGGTCTTTCGTGGAGCTTGAAGGATATTTGCTAAAGAATTCCAAGAATTGTTCAGCGAAATTCTCGTAGTGATTATTGACGAGTACGCTATGGTCCGTTTAGACCTGCTGGGAAAAACTGAGAGCCGATTGCTTTAAGCTAAGGGTAGACGGCACGTGTCTTTTGGTGGTGTAAATTTAATAATAATTGGAGATCCGGTACAACTATTTCTTGTTGGTGGCACACCTCCGTATGATCAATCCGATAAAACGCTTTTTTTGCAAGGAGAAATTGCGTATGCAAATTTCAAGGTTGTTATATTGAACCAGGTTGTCCAGCAACAAGAGGATCTAAGCGACCCACTTCAAGTTCAATTTTCGTGTCTACTTAAGGAACTTCATGATGGGTCGTGTCTAAGTCGCAGTGGTAGATCCTATTTACCTGACCATTGTCGAATGTTGGTGTTACATTTAAGGAATATTTCAAGGACGCTGTGAGACTTGTACTGAAACGCCGAAGTCGATCGCTACAATGCAGTAAAGTTGAGCAAATTTGTAAACCCTATCACGTACATTATGGCAATTAATAGTTTGTCTCGAGAAAGGTCAATGACTTCTGACAAGTTCGGGCGATTGGAGAACTTATTGTATCTTGCTGTTGGATCACAGGTGAATTTGAAATATAACATTTGACAAGGCGTCGGGCTAACACACGGATGCATGGTCCAAGATATTGTTTATGAAAACGAACAAGCCATCACTGATATGCTCATCTTTATTGTTGTGGAGAGGTAAGACTACATTGGTCCACCATTTTTGCGGTTATTGACAGAAAGAGAAAATGGATTCCAACGTCGGATTCCAAGTTATTTACTGTTGGTTTTAAACGCAAAATCGGACTTAAAACCCTCTCCGATTGTCATATGCAACGACCATACATAGGAGTCAAGGGTGGATATTGGATCTTGTTGTTGTTAATTTGGGAAAGAGAGAGAGAGAACTCTTGGATTGACTTTTGTGCACTATCAAGGGTTCGACGTATTCGACATCTGGCTGTCATATCATGCTCGTACGACCGACTGTACAAAATCAGAGAATCGAAGAGCTAGCCTACGAAAGGTAATAGAGTTGAGTTTGTACGAGCTGAATAGGAACACTCAACATGAGGCGAATTATTTTTATAAATTAGTACAGTATAGAACGATGTTATCTTCGAGATAAATTTTATGATAAATTTTGGTTGATACGTTCGTTCCTATACATGTGTATGTCCTATAAATTTGACTGCGAGCCCGAAAGGTGAAGCTATTAGCGAATGTGCTCAAGATTAAATGCCGATACGGTGTCATCGAGTTTGATCCATCCTATTCCAATTAGACACAATAAGTTCCCAGTTTGAGCTTCTGGCTGCAGAAATTGTCTTCGACTTTCGTCGTTAAACTGACCCTCTTGGCTTTCGACTTTGGCCCTTTAACTTTGACCCTTCTACTTTAGGCTTCTACTTTTTGGCTCTTCCATTTGACTTATTGCCTCTCAGCATGTCGCCTTTGGCTTTGCCTTTTACCCTTGCGGACCTTTGCCTTTTTACCCTTCCGCCTTTGCGGCTTTATTCCATTGTTGGTACTCCACCTTGGTCCTACTGGTTTGCTATTGCGCCTGTTGTGGCTACGGCTTACGCCGATCCGAGTCACCTGCTGTGTAGTCATATAGGAGGGAATTTTGGATCGGTGACTTGCCGTGATTGCAGCCCGTTAACACCTCCGCCTACAACCGCTAGACCTTTACTACTGGCCACTTTCTATTTAAGCCTTTCAGTGTAATGACCCGAGCGAACTCGGGGGATGGACAATCGTTTTTAAGCCAGGGCAAATTAATTTCCTTCCACACTAAAGCACTCGAAGGTGTATACCGCAAGCCTACCGATTTGGATTATTTCGTGAACCACATCAAGTTTCCTAAATTCGCACCTTTCTGGGACTTGAACCCAACACCTACCAACTATACTACAATGCGATTTAAACCACTACGATACTACTTACCTGGTAACAGAAGGGACAAAATTTATTATTAAGCATCAAATTTGCTTTTCGGTTTGTTGCAAATCCAAAGAGCGAAGCTATTAGTGAGTGTGCGCAAGGTTGAATGCCGAAATAATTATCGCACTTTCTTATGTTGGTCTCCGTTTCTGTGTGTCTCTGTATATAAAGCGGCTAGGTGTAGCTTAATCGTATTGAATGCGATCTAGTCTGTCCGGACCACATAGGTACAGAGGCATGTACGTTGTCACTATTTAGCTAGGTCGATATTGTAACGGGGCACCCTGAAGCTTGTACTGGTGACAGTACAAGCTACTTATTCTGATAACAGAATAAGGCGGTGCCTCGTAACTTCACGTACACTCGTACGTGCAGAGGAAGACGGTAAGAAGAAGCGAGTACTCGGTTAGAGTAAAAAAGTAGAACTGTATTTATAATAGTTAATGTCTGCAATAAATCACTATTTATCTTCATCTAACTATGTCTAAATACAAATGTGTAAATCAGTTATCTGCTCACCACTCATTGCGTGCGTCTGTCGTGGCAGCAGCCTTCGTTGGTTGATATAATGGCCTATATCAACCAATTAGGAACTACTTGAAGTGCTACAGAATATTGTCCTTATGACAATATTCTGAGAATATAACTCTTATAGTTATATTCTATTAACAATTTCTTATAAATTGTTATGTAACGATTCACCCCGTTACATCACCCCCCTTAACCATCAGTCACTTTAGTGACTGATTGACTAAATGGATACTCGTCCCAAATCATTTGGGACGGGGTTTGCACTTGTTGGTCCGCGTCCACTTTCCAACATCTCATCGCATGGTAAACAAGCCCATGCGATGCGCGAGCAAGGCCGCCGAGAGCGCGTCTGCACGTCTCTGTGCGGACGCCGAAGCAGAAACTACAGCAACTGATATCCCATCGGTTGCTGAATCGACTCAGCCTGTATCACCTGGTGATGCAGGCGCTGGTCATGAAGACACTCGTGTCTTCACAGAGTACGAGCTCGGTGTCTCGTACTCTCCTGATACGGATGACGGATCCGTATCGACGGCAATTGAATCCAAGCCGCCTGCCAAGCGTGGCATGGACGATGCTTTGCGTCGCAGCATCTTTGGTTCATCTGATGAGTCAGATGAACCATCGCCGAAGCGAAGGCGCTCGAGGTCGCGAGACTCGGGCGCCAATAGTGGTGTCGTTTCTCCAATGGACACCACTTCACAGCGAGGTGCCAGTACTTCTGTCGGCACGTCGCAGGAAGAGCGGGACCGCAATGTGTTGCGTCTCGCTCCAGAAAAGAAGGCATGGATGCCTCCTAAATTCTGTCATGGATCACTTGTCGGCGACGACGAGTGATCGTTATCGAACACGATTGTTCGATTCGTCAAGGATCCATCACTTGACCCCAGCGCGAAAGACTATCGCGCTGAACATGAGTTCTTCATCGATGCTTTCTTCAGACATCGATGGTACAGTGGGAATCACAAACGTGATGGTCCCTCACTACTCAGGCGTGGAACGCCTACATCCATAATCTCGAGGATGTAGGTCGTGACGCTTGGAACGACAAACTTATCAAAGCTCGTGATAAGTTTGAAAAGCGAACCCCGACAGGTGCACGCTACAAGCTGCATCGTCTGTCAAGGGAGAAAGGATTACCCTGCCTCTCTTGGGGAGACTCGTGCCCATGTTGTGTGAACAACTCTGCACGAGCACCTAAGGAGGCTTACCTCCTTACCAGCCCGTGGTGGCGCGTACGTGTCTCTACTGAGATGTACGAAGGGATTGACAACCTGAAATCCCTTTACGACCGTGCCGGGAAGACTTTCTCCGGCGGTCCTTCTGCGGCACAGGATGTGTCGCGTCGTACTGCTCGACCAGACCCAGTACGTCAACCATCAATTGGGAGCGGGGCTCCCAAGAATCCCAGGACGGGGGATAGTTGCGCCACCGGACGAGGTAACTCGTCCGACGTCCAGTTCACGTCGCGGTGGTTCAACAGCTGCTCTACTAGATAGCGCTGGCCACCGCGAGAGTCCTCTAATGGAGGTGGAGGAGGAGGAAAGACGCTCTCCACACGATCATGTGGATCGGTGTGTTCCCGAGAGTTCTTTGATCGCGTAACGCAAGGGTTACGCGACGATCTCGAGCATGAGCGGAATAGGCGTCTCCAGATGGTGGACACTGCCTCGAAGCATCGAGCTGAGTTTGCCTTTGCTCAGCTTGAGAACGAGAGATCTCTGACATCTTCGTGACGAGCTAAGGGTAGCTCGTGGGATTGTTGATCGGTCTCGGGCTGAGATAACTGCTCTTCAGACCCTTGTTGATGCCCACCATCGGGAGCACAAGGCTCTCTGCGAGATGCTTGAGCGCAAGGGCGTTCTTCATCGGAAGAAGCAGCGTACTGATGGTACGGCTTAAGCCGACCAACGTAAAACGTGGGATGCGTTCGCATCTTACGTGGTAACTCGATCGTGTATGCATTGCCTAGGCGGTGCAATACACGAAATGGGCCAATGTACTTGGGTAGTAGTTTACTGCTACCCAAGTTAGTCACTACATGTTTTGGTAGATTAACCGTAGACAGTAGGACTAAGTCACCTTTATTAAATAAAAGAGTGTTTGCCCTTCCATTCTTGTCAGCGTTTTGCTTTTGCTTATCCACCGCTTCGGCGATGGAGTCTTGCACAAAACGGACTACCGTTTCACGAGCCAGTATGAACTCATCTGATGACTCGTTAGCTTCAGTGTGCTGTGAGCGCACTGCAGCGACAACAACCTTTTCTTCAGTGAGGGCTTCCGCACTCTCACTGGGATCATTGTCTTCAGTGAGGGCTTCCGCACTCTCACTGGCATCATCTTCTTCGATATCGATGTTATCGATATCGGCATCAAACGCAATGACTTCTTCGTCAGAGCGTGATGAGCGTGAACCAAATCGGTTTTTGCTCGCGCGAGTCCCTCCCCCTTAAACCAGAGTTACACTCTAGTAAGGTGGGTACACGCGGATGGCGCAAGCCATTCACGTAAAACGGTGTATGTGTCGTGGACGCATGCACCGAGTTGTTGATGGCAAACTCTACCATTGGCAAAAAACTCACTCCAACTCTTAAAGGAGTGTACGTATCCTCGAAGTATCTCTTCAAGGACACGATTGGCACGTTCCGTCTGACCATCTGACTCTGGATGATCAGATGTTGACATCTTTCAAGCGCGTTCCGAGTGATTTGAACACGGAACGCCAGAAATCAGCAGTGAATCGTGGATCTCTGTCTGATACGAGTTCACGGGGCAACCCATGAAGTCGGAAGATGGTGTCAATAAAGACACAAGCACAGCCACTTGCCGTGATTGTCTCTGGTACAGCCACAAGGTGTACCATTTTGCTGAATCTGTCAACAAATACGAGAATACCTGTATTCCCGCGTGCGTCTTTGGGTAACCTGAAGACGAAATCCATTGAGATGGATTCCCAGCACTCAGCCGGAACCGGTAGAGGCTGTAAAGGTGCACGCAGTGAAGGACTTGACTTCACTCGTTGGCAGACTTCGCATGCGCGAACATACTTTCGCACAAACTGATACTGGCGGGGCCAGTAAAAGTCTCGACTTACCGTGAGATATGTTTTCTTCTCGGCCACGATGTCCCTCCTATAGGAGCATCGTGATACTCGAACATGATCCGCAAACGCAGATCAGTATCATCTGGAATGACAACACGTGGTGTGTCACCAGAAACGGCTGTATAGTACAGTAAACCGTTACGAGTAGTGTTATCGATCTGATGCAGATCGATACGCAGACGACAATCGTTTCAACGATTCTCGAGATGGTTGGGAGAGATGTGACAACAACTTCACTATCTCACCATCTTGGGCGTATGCCCGCCTCACATCATCATACAACGTTGTAGATGGAACTGAGGACGTCATAACCGCAACAGTGACTGTCTCACTGTTGGGTTTCGCGACTGTTTCAAAGTCGGGACGACGTGAGAGTGCATCAGCGACGACATTAAGTCGTCCTGGTTTGTACTCGACCGTAAAGTTGTATTCTGCAAAGAATGACAACCACCGCGCCATTCGTTGTGAAAGGTGTGGGCTGTTCACTGCCGTGCGTAAGGACGCATGGTCAGTGTAAACAACGAAGGGTCTATCTCCTAATAGATAGACTCTGAACTTCGCGAGTGCATACTTCATGGCAAGGAGTTCCTTGTCATGCACTGGATAGTTCCGCTCAGCTGGTTGCAGCTGACGCGACTGATAGCAGACGACGCGTTCAACGCCTTCAAGGTCGTACTGCATTAATGCACAGCCGATTGCGAAATCGCTGGCATCACAGACCACATGAAATGGCCTGTCCTGATCGGCTATTGCTAGGACTGGGGATTGTATCAAGCTCTGCTTGATACCCTCAAAGGAGCGTTGACATTCAGCGTTCCATAACCACCTCTCGTTCTTTTTCAACAAACGAGAGAGGTGTACAGTCATCTCGGCGTAATTGCGTGAATACTTATGCAAATACGCCGCTAGCCCAAGGAATTTTCGAAGACCTTTGACATCGACCGGCACAGGCCAGTCGGTGATCGCCTTGATCTTTTCGGGATCAGGACGTACACCGTTCTTACCAACGATGCACCCAAGAAGTGGTATTTCGCTTGCTGCAAATATACACTTCTTGAGGTTTGCATACAATTGATGCTTTCGCATGATTGTAAGAACTTGTCGGACGTGGTACTTGTGAACTCAACGTCCGACTTTCCATCCATAGCTCGACTATGGATGAATACGTCATCGAAATAACTCGGCGCGAATTCTCGTACTGGCCTCAACAGATGTGATACACACCTGTTGAACGTGGCAGGGGCATTACTGAGCCCTTGTGGCATTACTAGCCATTCCCAGAGCATGCCGCTAGGCGTGCTAACTGCGGTATAGGGTATATCCTGTTCCCGCATTAGGATTTGATAGAAGCCATCCATCAAATCCATGGACGAAAAGATGGTACTCTTTGACATACCATCAATGATTACGTCCTTCCTCGGTATCGGCGTCTGAGCCGGTACCGTTGCAGCGTTCAATTTGTTAAACGCGTGCACTATCCGCCACCCTCCTGTTGCTTTTCGCACACAGAAGGTCGGAGAGCTATGTGGGGAAGTTGATTCCCTCACATGGCTCGCTGCTAAACGATCGGCAAAGAACTTGTCGATCGCAAGTACTTGTTCACGAGGCAGTGGCCACTGCTTCATGACACAGTACTTCGAGCCTGGTTTAAGCTCGACTTCGTGTCGAATACCTTTATCCTTCGGTAATTCGCACGGAACAGTTTCAGGGAATACATCCTTGAATTCAACCAAATCTTCATAGAGAGGGATTTTTCTTGAGCGATTCCCATGATTGGGACTCATATCGCTCAATTCGTGTCTTTTCATCTAGGACACTCTCGTCCATAGATGAACTACTGAGAACTCTCTCGTTCTCAGTAAACACTGTTGCTGACCTTATGTCGGTTACATACTCGTCGTCAGCGACGAGTATGCAGATCTGCTTGACTTTGCCACTACGCAGATCACGCAAGAACCTTTTATGTTCGAGCGTTGGCAACTGAGTGATCTCCGAAGTTAACTTCGGAGGCGCAATCAGATCAAGTGTATAAGCGCCTACACATGATCCGTTATTGACTATGACATTCAATGTCTCTGTCATTTCCTGGGGACTTATTCCCTCAGGCTTCGAAGGACTTATTCCTTCGTCTTCCCGGGGACTTATTCCCGCGGGTTTCGGGGAACTTATTTCCGCCGTATTTGTAATCTTGGGACTTATTCCCTTTACTTCCTCTAGCTGGGGTTGCGCAACCACAGCGAGATCCTCTACGAAAGACTCTCCAGTCGATCTAGGATTATCGTTTCGCTTAACCTGAGCGATCGATTGTTTCTCTTCTAGATGTTCCCCTCTAGGGATACATCTTTGTCCCAGTCCACCCGACTTATTCGAGTGGTGGACCTTCGGCGCAGCCTGTGTTTCCTCACAGCCGCCGGAACTTTGCTCCGAAGTGTAACCGTTTGGTACACTAAGGTTTTGTGCAGTCGTACTAACGACCGTACCACAAGTGAGGCCATCGCACTCACTCGTAGTACATCCACACGCTTGTGGACGCTCCAAAACGTTCATCAGATGGCCATCTGATGAACAAGCGGCAGGCATCGTTACTGTCCGATGTTGCCAGTTTACCCGTGGTTCGTACCTTCTGAGCCACGGTATTCCAAGGATGACATCAAATTTGTCATCCAAATCCAATACGATAAAGTCATCGTCGTATTGGGTATCTTCTAGCGTATAGTGAATCTTCACTATACGCTTCATGACGGTTACGGATGCGCCTGTCGCAAGACGTACCGTCATCCTCGTAGGAGGTGTGTCACATTCACTGAATTTAAAGTGACCATCTTCTAGCGATTGGCGTCGCACAAAAATTGTTGGACGCCCCACAATCGACTAGAGCTCGAAGGGACAACTTATTCGTCACTTCGAGTTTCAAGGTAATGAGTGAGATCTCATTACCTAGAGCAGCAACGCACAATGTCTGTGTGTTGGGAGCAACCTTCATCAAGAGGCCTACAAATTCTCTTGACGTTGCTGGATCAGTAGGGTGCTCCGCACCTACTGATCCTGTCCGTTTTTTGACGGTCCATCCCGTTGTTGCGTCTTTGCACCAACTGCGGACCCTCGTCCCTGCCCCTTTCTCATGGGTGGACGGTCACTACGCCCAGTGTCGCGAGACACTGGACGAGGGGCACTACACTCGTAAGCGTAGTGTCCTGTCTTTTGACATCTGTTGCATCTCTGCAACTTCTTGTAGCCTGTAGAGCGAGCCTTCTCGCTCTCTACATAACAGAGTTCCATCGGCTCTGACCTCCGTTGTCATATCGTCTCGGTTGACGATATGATGTCGAGCTGGCGCGAGCCTGTCTCAGACTGAAGTCTTCCTGCTCCGCAATGGAAATGGCTTGTTCTAGTGAATCTAGTTCAAGCCGGAACAGGTGAGTCTTGACGGGACCATCCGCAAGACCCTGCATGAACACCGAAACCAACGTGTGTTCATCCACCGGATTGGAACTTATACAACTCGTGAGATGTCGTATATGTTGAGCGTAAGCGTGCACATCACGCTTACCCTGCTTGAGCTTCAAGAGTTCGGTTCGAGCTCTGAACTCAGCTCTAGGCGGTTCAAACGTTTGTCTGAGCCGCGACTTGAAGACTTCCAACGACCCAAACGCATATGGGTCGTGCAGCTTGAGCCCCAGTGCCCAAGTCTTGGCACGTCCTGCCAGATTTGACTGGGCAAATGCAACTTGCATATCCCCGTCGTCGATGCGACGCGCCCTTATGGCGTCATCCAACTCGACGAACCATCTCAAGAGGGAGTCTTCTTCGACCCCCCTATACTTTGAGATGTCAATCTTCAAAGTCTCGGGCCGACGCGAGTGCATCGACCCGCCAGCAGCAGCTTGCTGCTGTCTCAACAGTTCAAACTGTTGAGCACCTTGTTCTCTCAACAACTCTGCTTGTTGAGAACCTTGTTGGTGAAGCAAGGCTACTTTCGTAGCTTCTGCGTCAAGTTCATTTTGAATGAACTTGGCGATAGTAGCATGTTGGGCATCTCTATTGAGAGCCTCTAGCATGACGCTAACAGCATGGATGCCCATGGTCGAACCCATTCGTTCAACCGCATCCCATTCGACATCGCTCAAATGGGAGTAGCCGTCACGCGTAGCGTGAAAGCTTTGGTCATCTTCATCATCCAACATATTCATGTTGGATGTGAACGCGGTCCTTGGACGGACTACGAAGTGCTACCAGGTGTAACGGGGCATTCCTGAAGCTTGTACTGGTGACAGTACAAGCTACTTATTCTGATAACAGAATAAGGCGGTGCCTCGTAACTTCACGTACACTCGTACGTGCAGAGGAAGACGGTAAGAAGAAGCGAGTACTCGGTTAGAGTAAAAGTAGAACTGTATTTATAATAGTTAATGTCTGCAATAAATCACTATTTATCTTCATCTAACTATGTCTAAATACAAATGTGTAAATCAGTTATCTGCTCACCACTCATTGCGTGCGTCTGTCGTGGCGCGTCTTCGTTGGTTGATATAATGGCCTATATCAACCAATTAGGAACTACTTGGAAGTGCTACAGAATATTGTCCTTATGACAATATTCTGAGAATATAACTCTTATAGTTATATTCTATTAACAATTTCTTATAAATTGTTATGTAACGATTCACCCCGTTACAGATATTGAGACGCACGCTTCTGATTAACTTTAAATCGACTAAAGCTGAAAATAACCATATTAGGAAATGCTGGCTACTTATAAATAAAGGCCGATCGCGTTGGTCCAGTCAGCTGTACTAGGTCAATGCATACATTGATAGCATTGTGCTCATGCCTCATTGACTACTTCTGCATAGTTTTATTGTGACGGGGCACCCTTTGTTTGGGTGCAACGAAACTTCACGTATACTCGTACGTGCAGAGGAAGCTAATCTACTGAAATAGCTAGTTTGAGTAAAGGTAAAATAGAACTGTATTTAATATAGTCAAGCTATCAGTATGACTTTAGTCTTTATCTTACAACTGATCTACATTGTCGTATGACGACAACCTGCTCACCACCCATTACGCGCGTCTAGCAGCGATTGGTGGTAATCTTGGTTGGTATGTCTTTTAATAACCAATGTTTGATCAGCGCATGAATTTTATCTTAAGGGGATAATATTCCTTTAATATAACCTATCTCGGGTAATGTTGGCAGGAGATTGTTATGCTAGACAACATCCCTATTGACACCGTTTGGTGCCAATATCATGTAGCGGGCTACCCCGTTACAAATTTTGCAACTTGATTTAGTTTTATGAACTGAATTACTAACTCAAAGGCGGGGTCCAGAGCTTGCTCCCCTATCGTATAAATGCTGACCAGTAATCATAAGAGACCGACACGAGCCTCCTCAACCAGTAAAACAGGTGCTGGTTTTGGAACACAGCGCTCAGTGCATCACCCCAAAATTAGCTAGAAATAAACTATTTGGGTTGGTTGTAATAGCAAAAATTTATGGGGGGGAATAAAGAAACCAATGGATCATTGGTCCGGGTCAGATCTCGACCCAAGACCCGGACCAGCCGGGTCGAACGCCGGGTCGACTCAATAAAACTGGTCTGGGTCGGAGCCCTAATGTCGGCCACTTTACATATTTATGTGACACATTGTAGATTAAGAAAAGAGTACGCAAATTGGAGCGAGCTCTACATTCTTGACGAAATCTGTTTTTCTTTTTCCAAAAGCAGACAAAATAGTGACGGGCACGAGAGCAATAATGGCGATAAATCGAAATCATCATTTTCCTTACCGTATTCGTGCTGGGGGGCGTACCTACTGGACTTTCGAGGCAGCATGGATAATCCATGAATCCATGTCTTTTTTAGCTTGTCAAAATATCGACAGATTGTCCTCGTTGATCGACACGGGATAAAATCAAGATAGTACAAATCGATTCAATGGATGCTTTCGCCGTCCCGCGGCGGCTGTTCACAGGTCATAAACGCCGCGCTGAAGCTTTTCGTGATGACAACTTTACGTTTTTTACTGCTGATGACTTCAATACGTTCTCCATTCGTGGGGATAGTCACGAATCGCGTTTCTATGGTGAGCTAGAGACTTGTCGACGGACACTTGTCACCACAACATCCAAATTATCCAATCGGCCTCAAGATAGTTCTAGTTTTATCAAAATCAAGAAAGAATCCAAGCATTTGGTGCAGCTGCTCGTCGAGTTGGTGGAGACCCATCGGATTCAAGTACCGAAAAAGCGGGCCGAATTGGATAATGCCTATCGACGAATATCGGGATTTTCTGTGGCTGAACAAGAACGATATATGATGCTGCAACGCAAGGTTTTTCTAGCTCAACAGGTGCAGGGAATGTCATTTTTGACTTTATCGTGAATGGGTGGAGACTGACGGACATTTTGTTTGCGTTGATGTGGACTCTTGGATTTTATCTTGGTTTCAAATTGCAGCGAGGATTGCCTGAAGTGCTCGCGTTGTCGCAGGATGAAGCGAAAGGGTGGCGAAAGATCAAAGCAGAGGTTGCAATTGAGCAAGTAGCTTTTTGTCGGATGATGGCACGAGCTTTGGCTCCAGAAGCTGCAGTGAAAGAGGCTTTTGTGCCGCCATTTGCTGCGTCGTGGGTACGTGCTTTTGCTTTGTTTGCAAGATATTTGACAGGTGACTGGGTTGCTCATGGACGTGGTGCTTGATCGGATCAGTATGCTGCGATGCTGATGCAGTGCTGGAACGACATTTATCGGCTGTACCCACGGTGGTTTGAGCCGTGTCTAACTGTACGGTTGCCAAGTGGTCGCGTCTCGAATGACTTCGAGTGTGCCGCGATCAAGGCAAAGGAAGTTGCTGCACGCGGCTCGTGTTGCACGATTGACTTAACGAAACTAGTTGCTGGCCAGCCGCTGAATAGCACACCGGACGAGAGCGAAGGCCTTGACGTAGCAGTACCGCGTCAGGTCATCTCCGCTGACCCGCAAGCGTACCAGTTGGTCGAGAGATTCGACTGTGACATAGCCATCTCGTCGTCCACGTTGGTCACACTTTTTGACAGTGATACGTCATCCCGCTTTTCCCATGTGGTAAGTCAATCGTAGGTTGAGGGTGCCACATCTTTCTACCCAAATACTGACTGCAGTCGTACTGAGTGCAGCCCGCAGAATGGGGCATTCCTATGAAAATCCGAGCAAGCGTTTGCAAAAGTACCGGGGCGCCGAAGAAGCGTGTTTTTCTAGACCGTCCACTGCCAGGAAGTAATCCAGGGACGCGAGAGAAAGTAGCAGAAGCGGGCCGGGCTGCATTACTGTCACGCTTTGAGGTGAGCGTTATAGTTAGTCTCGCACCTGATCCAAAAAGAACTGAGCCTAACGAGGTCTTGTGACAGGATGAATCGGTTCTTGACGGATCCACCGGCGGCCGAACGGCATACCATATTTGGCAGCTGAACGATAGACGGATTCTCGTGCGCAGCGTGACACAAGTGAGCGTATTAGTATCCTCCGTCTCAGGCGGCGTATCACCGTCTGTGACTGCACCGCAAGATGATCGACCCAAGGAGAAAGCGGTCACGCCGCTAAGCGTGTTCGTAAAGCCAGACTACCATTTGCTTGGTGTCGAAGAACAGCTGACAACGAGTGAACGGTGTCGTTTCTGGCTGCATTCGTGGCTTCGTGGTGGTTCACCAGTACTTGTCGCCCGGGTGAACCCCATGAAAGGTGTTGTCAGCTCATGGCAAACGTATTCACCGGAATCTCTCATCTACGGCGACAAGAGTCAGCAATATCTTCCACTCGAGTGTTTTGAGTAAGTCCTTGTGCTATGGAACGTATCATCTGTTTCGAATACCAAGTGATTTGTAACTGACTAACCCATATGTGTATGTGTGCTGTGTCCGTTTCAGCCCGTCAGCAAAATTCATGTGGTTATCTCTGTTGTTTGCCAGATTAGGCGATCTACCAGTTGGAAAGTATCTCCTGAAGCCACAAGATACTATCGGTCCAAGTACATTTGGTCGACGACGCGGTGGTGTGCAGGTGCTCATGGCGACAGCAAATTCTGGATCGGAAGAAACACCAGTGGTTGACTTGTATAGCTTTATGCCAAAATCAACGACGGGTGATGACAATGGTGACGATGATGGAGCAGTAGCTGCAATTTCCACGGTATCGAGGTCGAAGCCTATTTTCTCGACACTACCGGCGTGGAATCGATATGACCGGATTCCGTACACGTACCAAACCGGTATGTACTGCGTCCCGTTTTTCCTCGAAGGACGTTGCCCGAACGTTTTTAAGGACACTCACTGTGGCTATCTGCACCTCCGGTTAGCGAAACAAAGTCCAAGAAGTACCATGCACCAGGCCAAGTCAAAGCGAATGTGCTTTGATAACTACACGAAAGTATTGAAGAAAGCCACGACACGCAACCAGTTTGAACTGCTGAACCAGCCCCAGCGGGTGATACTGAATTACGCATTTTGCGGCGAAGAGACCGTCCGAGAATTTGAAAAGGTTACTACTATTGCCAGTCTGTCCGCTTCGATACATTGCTCCAAGATCCAGTCCGAGTGCAAATTGCCGCACTTGACACTCCACCAGGTCCTCGAACGTCTTGCAGATGATCTTCTACGCAAAGGACGAGGCAAACGTCGCGCTGAAAAAACCGTCAATCGCCATCAACACTCAGCTGTCTAAAAAACCTTCAACTATTTTCCATACCGATTTCCCCCATCTCGTTTCGCAACCGTTTCTATACACTCTCTCCACGACACAACCGGTTTTTCCAACTCCCCCCCGCTTTTTGGATATTTATTCCACGAGATTCATCCAATCAACCGCTCTCAAACATCCAGAATAATCCGTACGCACCATCGTACACGTCCTCATCTTGACCAGTCATTCAAGCCGTCGGTTCGGACAAAGTTGCACGCACGTCCAGACGCCAAGACCCTCGAGCCAAGATGCAGAGCGGCCGCGTGCTCACGGGCCGTGACGAACGGCGCAATCCTCTCGTGAAGCAACTCGTACTGGAGAACGACGGCCCTGCCAAGATCAGTCATTTAAACTTCGGTTTACTATCGGACATCGACATGATGCAGATGTCGGAATTCCGGGTCCAGTCCAAAGACCTGTTCAAAGTCCAGACCCGGGAACCTGCAGCGCTTGGTGTCCTGGACAAGCGCCTGGGCGTCAGTAACAAGAAAGATTCGTGCGAAACCTGCCACCTCAAGCTCGCGGACTGTGTGGGGCACTTTGGCTACATTAAGCTCGAGCTCCCAGTGTTCCACATTGGCTACTTTCAAGCCATTACGGAGATCTTGCAGAACATTTGCAAGCAGTGCAGTCGCGTCTTGCTCGCGCCTTTGGATCGTGCGACCTTTCTCAAACGGATGCACGATCCGCGCGCGGATGTCTTGAGGCTCATTGGACTCCGGAAGAAAATTGCCGCCATGTGCAAGAAAGTTATCAAATGTCCCTATTGTGACGCGCTCAATGGCACTGTCCGGAAAATCACGAGCACGACCTTGAAGTTGGTGCATGAAAAGTTTCGGGCGAAAGCCACGCACGACCTTCGCAATGTTTTCGTTGCGCAATTTGCAGAAGCTCAAGCGCAGAATCCGGAATTGGGGCAGCACTTGTCGAAAGCACAAGACGATTTGAGTCCGTTGATCGTGCAGTCGCTGTTTCAAGCGATTCCGGATCAAGATTGTGCACTGCTGTGGGTTGATGCGGATGGCGGACGACCGGAAAAGTTGATTCTCAGTGCCGTGTTAGTGCCGCCAGTGTGTATTCGTCCGTCCGTGGCAATGGATGGAGGCATTGGGAGCAATGAAGATGATATTACGGTCAAGCTGCAGGAGATTGTGCAGGTGAATTCAGCGCTGCGAGCCGCACTACAAAAGGGGGCATCGTTAAAGATGGTGATGGAAGACTGGGACTTTTTGCAGATCCAGGTCGCACAACTCATGAACGGAGACACGCCGGGGTTAGTCAAACCGCCAGGCACAAAGACTGGCACTCGCGGTCTATGCCAGCGGCTAAAGGGCAAACAAGGACGTTTTCGTGGCAACTTGTCAGGCAAGCGTGTCGATTTCTCAGGCCGCACGGTTATTTCACCTGATCCGAACTTGAGAATCGATCAAGTGGGTGTCCCGGAGCATGTGGCCAAGACCATGACGTACCCGGAAAGTGTGACGCGTTACAATCTTGAAAAGCTGCGCAAGTGCGTCGTCAATGGACCTAATGTGCATCCCGGAGCTAATGTCATCCGTATTCAAGGCCAGAAGTTTACGAAAAACTTACTGTACGGAGACCGTGCCAGCCTGGCAGACGAGCTCAAGATTGGCGATGTGGTCGAGCGTCACATGGAAGATGGCGACATTGTGCTGTTCAATCGCCAGCCTTCCCTTCACAAGATGTCCATTATGTCTCACCGCGTCAAAGTGATGCCATGGCGCACGTTTCGTTTCAACGAATGTGTCTGTTCGCCGTACAATGCCGATTTCGATGGTGACGAAATGAACATGCATCTTCCTCAGACAGAGGAGGCTCGCACTGAGGCGATTACACTAATGGGCGTGGAACAGAATCTCATCACGCCTCGCAATGGTGAACCGTTGGTTGCTGCGACGCAGGATTTCCTGACGGCGTCGTACCTGCTCACGCAGAAAAACATTTTTTTTAACCGCGAACAATTCTGCCAGGTCATTTCAATCATGAGTGATGCGAGTGAACACATCGAGCTGCCTCCCCCGGCTATCGTGCTGCCGGTTCGACTTTGGACTGGCAAGCAGGTGATCAGCCTTTTGATCAAGCCCAACTCACAAACGAAAGTTTTGGCAAACTTGGAGCTCAAGGAGCGCAACTACACGAGCAACAAGTACATGTGTTGGAAGGACGGATATGTGTGCTTCCGTAACAGCGAACTCATTTGCGGCAATCTAGGCAAGAAGACGCTTGGCGATGGCAGTAAACAGGGTTTATTTTACGTGTTGATTCGTGACCATGGATCTCACGAAGCTGCCCGGTGCATGAATCGTTTGGCCAAGCTCTGTGCGCGCTGGCTTGGCAATTTCAAAGGGTTTTCAATCGGTATTGATGATGTGACGCCTTCCGAGGAGCTCGCAAAGGAGAAAGAAAAGCTGCTTCAAACTGGCTACGACGCTGCCAATAGCTCGATTGAGGACTACCGACAGGGCAAGTTGTCATTAAAGCCCGGCTGTAACGCTATCCAGTCTCTTGAGAGCGAGCTGAATGGCTTGCTAGGTAAGCTGCGTGAGACCGCTGGTGCCGAGTGTATGCGCACGCTGCCGTTCCACAACAATCCGCGCATCATGGCTGAATGTGGCTCAAAAGGCAGTGCGCTCAACATCTCTCAGATGATGGCATGTGTGGGTCAGCAGTCAGTGGGCGGCAAGCGTGTGCCAGAAGGATTCGTGAACCGGACTTTGCCGCACTTTCTTCCTCACGCTCTGCATGCGGCTGCCAAGGGGTTTGTGGCCAACTCGTTCTACAGCGGACTGACAGCCACTGAGTTTTTCTTCCACACGATGGGTGGCCGCGAAGGTCTTGTCGATACTGCTGTGAAAACGGCCGAGACAGGGTACATGGCTCGTCGTCTTATGAAAGCTCTCGAGGATCTATCGTGCCAGTATGACCAAACAGTGCGCAACTCGGAAGGATCGGTGGTGCAATTTACTTACGGCGATGATGGACTGAATCCAGCATTCATGGAGGGTGATGATCGGCCGGTTGACTTCCATCGTCTGCTGGAGCATATTCGCAATACCTTACCTGACCGCGAGTCTCCTGCATTACTTCCGTTTGAGTTGCGCCGCCTGGGCAAGCAGGTTGTGCAGCGTTTTCAGTTTCAAGCGATTTTGCCGACGGGACGCAAGTTTTTGATTGAGATCGAAGAGTTCTTGGGTAGTGTTGCAAGTGAGATTGCTTCAAATCGGACGGGCTGTGGGATCGAGTCGATGGATACGAACGTGAAGACTTATGCTTCGAAGCTTGAGAAGGCTTTTGATGACGGCAAGGCGGCTAGTGTGCTTAAGACCAAGTCGGAAGCTGGCGGAGAAACGAAGAAGGAGAAGAAGATCCAGATCTCCACGAACTTGGAGAAGCTCGCCAAGCTGAATGGAAGACGTCGATTGGTGAAGCCTGGTGCCGAGTTAGGAGATGATACGGAGGACTCGGATGAGGACATGGATTTGGATCTGACAACTTACAAGAGTAAAGGGCTGGACAAGGTGGGTCTGCCTGAATGGGAACGTGCTCGCTTTAGTAGTGCAAAGTGCCGTGCTGAGTGGAGCAAAAGTGCGGGCATGGAGGGTACATCTGAGAAGGAAGAGGCAGCGTGGCTGCTGTCGCATAACGTGTGTCGTATTACGGTCAAGCAGGTCGAAAAGTTGCTGGAAATCTCGCTGTACAAGTACAACCGCGCTGGTATGGAACCCGGCGAGGCTGTGGGTGCTGTAGGCGCACAGTCTATCTCGGAGCCTGGTACGCAGATGACGCTGAAGACGTTTCACTTTGCCGGTGTTGCCAGCATGAATGTGACGCTCGGTGTCCCTCGTCTCAAAGAAATTATCAATGCGTCTAAGGTCATCAGTACACCCATTATTACAGCGGCGTTGGTGTGCAAGACCGATGAACGCTCGGCACGTATCGTGAAGGGACGGATTGAGAAAACAACGCTGGGCGAAATCGCCGTGCACATAAAAGAAGTCTTTGCTCGCGATCAGGCGTATCTATCGGTAAAGCTGGACTTGGCAGCGATTGAGCAGCTACACCTGAATATCACGGCACGGTCTGTGCGTAACAGCATTTTAAACGGTGTCGGTGTGGGCCCGCGTGGTGCCCTACGCCTTTTGAAGGAGCAGCACGTGCTACTGAACGCCCGCTGTCCCGACAAACTGCGTCTACTAGCGCCGCCCAACTACAAGGGCGCCAAGGGTGACACGCGCGGTGCTTACTTTGCTCTGCAAGCACTCAAAGCGGAATTGCCTGGTGTAATTGTGCAGGGCATCCCGACGGTGAATCGTGCTGTGATTAACTACGAGGAGGTACAGAATGAGGATGCGCCGAAGTCGCTCCATTTATTAGTTGAGGGCTATGGTCTCGCCGAAGTCATGGGCATCCCTGGCGTCGATGGACTTCACACAACTTCGAACCACATTGTTGAAGTCGAGAAGACGCTGGGTATTGAGGCAGCGCGTGAGCTTATTAGCTCCGAGGTGAACTACATCATGAGCGCTTATGGTATCGGTATCGACCGACGCCATTTGATGTTGTTATCGGATATCATGACGTTCAAGGGCGAAGTACTGGGTATTACACGTTTCGGCATTGCAAAGATGAAAGAGAGCGTGCTGATGCTGGCATCGTTTGAGAAGACTACTGACCATCTCTTTGATGCTGCAGTGCACTCACGGACGGACGCAATTGTGGGAGTCAGTGAGTGCATTATTATGGGTATCCCAATTCCTCTGGGAACGGGTATTTTCAAGCTGCTTCGTCAAGTGGAGAAACCTCGTGTGCAGCAGAGGCGGCCACTACTGTGCTCTGGGAACGGGTATGTTTAGCTGCTTCGTCAAGTGGAGAAACCTCGCGTGCAGCAGAGGCGGCCGCTACCGTTCAGCCCGCTTTAGACTTACTATGCGACGACCAGCAGGCATGATGAATGGCTGTTGTCATGGCAAACAGTTTGCTTGGACAGACCAAGCTATCGTGTCATTTTACAACACAAAGTGCGTGATGGCGCGGGGGACATGATGGATGCAGTTTGCTGGAAAGAACAAAGCAATGGGGTGCATGCTACAGAGCTCTGTCATGAGAGCACTTTCCTGTGGAATCATTTCGTGAAGCCACATCACAAGATCCTGTCATGATAATCAACATTGTCTGTTTTTGCCGCTTGTGTCATGATGTTGGTACCAGGGATAGTACTCAAAGCCGGGAAGATTGCAGCTTGTATCGTGCGAGTAAGTTGATCTTGCTTACGAAACTACGGCCGGCGTCACATAGGTCACTTTCGTATTGTTAGGCTATCTCGTTCACTTGGAGATTGGATGGTTGAGCTTACGAAGCTAGGTCCAGGCTCGCGGCTGAGCGAACTCCAATTGTGTAGTAGTAACCTTCACGCATACGCTTACACATAGACGATGCAGTACACGAAGATTTGCGCGGTTGACTCCGGCCCGCATTCGTCATGGAAATAAAGCGCATTTGCATCGATCAAAGCAGAGCGAGAGACAAGTTTGTGGCTTAATCTACATTTCGTGTCTGCACGGAATGAGCAGATGATAATAACACACGTGTATGCTACAGTGGAACCGATGCTGTACAATCACATCATCCTTGGTTGGTTTCGCGCAAAGGTCTATTGTGCACAGTGTGACGCGGAAGTCGAGAGCTAAACACAATTCGATTGCAGCAAAGGGTTGAATCTTCTAGACTGACAGAGAAGGAGAAGTCGACTCTTCCCGCTTCCGCGTGAAAATCGTATGCTCAGTCGGCTCTTCCCGCTTGCGTGGCGGACCCGTGTGCAGCTTGGGCTCTTCCCTCTTCGGCATGAAACCCAAATGCTCCGTCGGATCTTCCTTCTTCCGCTTGAAACTCGTATGCTCAGTCGGCTTTTCCTGCTTGCGTGTCGGACGCGTGTGCAGCTTGAGCTCTTCCCTCTTCCGCTTAGACCTCGTATGCTCAGTCGGCTCTTCCCGCTTCCGCGTGGAACTCGAATACTTCTTGAGCTCAGGCATAAGCTCATGCTCATTTCCTTTTCGAAGAACTCTAAGCCTACCAAGGTAGGCCTGAGTCAATCTTTCTTTTCGAAGAACTCTAAGCCTACCAAGGTAGGCCTGAGTCAATTTTTTTATCAAGTCTTCAGGAATAGGGCCGATCTCACCTTCCTTGAAGCCTCTCTCGTGTTCCGATAATTGAGTACGAAATGGGTCCATTTTTTGGACGTCGGTGACCTTCATTCCGTTCGCTTCCCAATCGCGGAACTGCTCATTTTGAACCAGTTTCGCGAACTTGCGTGCGGTCCCTTCACAATTTTCTATGGTGTTCTGGAGCAATATTGCCACACGCTCCTCAGGCATTAGAGTTAGAAGAATCTGTAACATTGCAAAGTACTTGAAGAGGGCATGATCTTCGGAAAGTCGAAACCTCTCGCGAGCCCTTTTGTACTCATCTTTCCACCCTTTGACGCATTCCAATGCGAACCCACTGAAGTCCTCTGAAAACAAAGCGCTTGGCTGTAGAACGTCGAACCTCCCAACTATGACGTTTTGAATAGTGGCATAGAAGGCCTTGTACTTGTCATGCAGGTTAGTTTGCTTGAGAGAGGTTGTCTTTTCGTCCGACGTAACTGTTTCCGCCATCGTAGGTCCTTCAAGTTTCTGATCCATGCCGCTGATCTTAGGATGCGTTTTTTCGATTTTGGACCAGAGTTCCAGTATCAGGTGCTCGCACCAGTTGGTTGCTAGTTTAAAGCCCGGGGCCCACAAATCTGCTCGCTCTTCTTCGTCTACCCCGTCGGTAGCGGTAGCACTCAGCAGCCCCTTGGCAGTCTCTTGCTTGGGAGTATGGGCACCACGCGCCGTGGCCTCTGGATCCATAACACTGGCGGCGAGATTGACAGTGATGAGCAGCATTGCACACGCGAACAGCTCAAAGCAGTTGAGGCGCCTCATGGCAAACTTGACGATGCCAGGACAGGTCAAAAGGCAAAACGAAAAGTGAGCGAATTGCGTGGCTGTTCTTGCGGCCTGGCAGTGCTGTACTGGCCGGAGCTACAGAAAAGCCTGTTCGTCGTCAGACGATGGCCAGTTGATGTCCGTCCATCCAAGTCGGCATCATGGATCTGACAAAGGTCGTGACCTCTTTATTTCAGTAAAGTGGAGAACTTGAGTGGAGGAGAAAGACAGCGGAAAAATCCTGCTCGGAAACTGCTCATGCATAGCTGCGGGACATCTGATCTTCGACCAGGATGCTGATGGCAAAGAAGTTTCAAAAACTGCGCCATATCACGCACCACCAACTCATCTTTGCGTCGCTATCACTATAAGCACATGCAGTTCAATACGAGGCTTCATTGCTACGCCACCCCCCCACACACACAACACGCCTTGTAAGTCGTGGCACACACTCCAGAGATATCTTGACTCAATGATGTTATCGTTGAGCTTCATGAGATCCCTCTCTCGCCACGCGCTGCTGAGGTAGCCAGTCGTGCAAGATGGTGGACCAGATTAGGCTTCTTGACAGACTGCTATCATTTCTCGTATCTTCTGGTCGCCGCGCTGTCTACCTCGTCGACAGAACTGCTACTGCTCGTTACGTATCGTTGACTGCTCGATTAGGACACGCAACCGCCTGTGCAATAGTAGGGGCATGACACCGACCTGGCGGTAGGATGGTAGACAAATTGGTTGTCAAGGCCAACGACAAAACAAGCCAGCGCAAGTATTCGCAGGACATTGTGTCACACCTAGGCTAATGGGTGGACATAGACCCCACTTGCTGCTACATCGCCCGCTAATTGGTTCCCATGATGTGACAGGGTTGATCGACCCCTTGTGCCCCGACAGCAAGCGGAATGACATTTTCGTTATTATGGACTGTACGATTGCTGGTTGAATCCTAGGAATCGTACACTTATACCAAGCAGGTATCCGTTGTACGGAGAAGGGTACAGTTGCAGGGCATTTCGCGTTTGCATCAGGGTGTCTCGTAGTGTTGCCATCTCGCTGCCAGCAAAAAGGTGAGGATGCACTGAGCGGTAGGTTCATCCCGAACTATGCAGCAGAGGGTTTGTTAAGGGACAACCATGTTAAAACGGAGGGAGTTGTCAGATTGTTGCTTCGCCGTCTACAGACTTAGGTTACGTGGGCGGGCCATATCAACGCGAATAAATTGTTAAAATCCCAATATTTTATTCGTGGTTCACGTGAGCGTATAAGTTTGAGATGTGTTTGTAGCCATCGCCACTTAAGTTTGGGGATCCGACAGGCATGTTGCAGTGCATACAAAGGTTCGGATACATCTATGGAGGTAAAACTGCGGTTGATGGTAGAAGAACGATACAACATTACTGGCTACAACACTGCCTGGCGCCTACCGCCCGTCAAACTCGTGCTTTTCTCCACAGCTAGCTAGCTTCGACTTTGACCCTTCCTTAATACATGTGTATATGTATTTATGCGATATTCTCCTTGTTGATACGAGCACTGGCAGATATGTAGCTCAATACGCTCAATGTAAGCACAACTGCCCGATCGTGGGGTGTGACAAGCTGACAAGCTCGTCGAATGTCGTAGCCGCTCCGATTCCGAATATCGCATTGGTGCAAGACTGCACAATAGATTGCGGAGGCGGCGACGATTCGTATATATCCTAGATCCAACGATATGTAGTGAGCGCATAATGTGTGTCAGCAATGACGTCATCTTATATATATGTGCACCGCTGAGCGGAGTATAATTCATATCCAGGTCGCATGGACACCAAACTGCTGGTTTCATCTTCTTTACGAACCCATTGGATCTCTTTTGTATTCGAGAACAAAGACTCCTTGCCCCACTTTCATCAGTCGATCATCTGGCGAGAAAGACATGCATGAGAACTCGAAGTGACATCATGGCGTCATAAATCAGTTGTCAATAGATTTAGCTTATAGTGAGACTTGACTCTTTCTGTGGGTTAATGACGGGTTGGCATAGCGCATGAAAATGACATCAAGAGTATAGGACTGACTGAGGAAGTGGTCAGACAAGATGGAAGAATCGGTACGGCATTATAAACTCCTTACAGTCTTGGTCGATACCGATGGCGCTAAATCAAGATTTGTCCGGTCTCAGGTGGCAAATGGACAACACGCTGACTGCGGCATGCAAAGCGGTAACTGCAATGTCATGTAGATCATCTCACATCGATTTAAAAGACAATTTTACTTTTCTTTAGCTGTCTTTCTTGTGCATTTGCTTTCTCGCCGCGCTGCATCAAGGAAAATCTAAAATAGCTTGTACGTAAAATAAAAATGTATTGGAGTGTACGATCGCCCTTTTGACATGATAGCCCATCACATGATATTTACTGTGGAATTGTTTCACCACCCACCAAGTTTATGCTCGTTTCCAATCGCCCCTTATTCACTAACGCTAATTTTCAATTTCATGGCCTTTTCTGGATGGTCAGAATGTAAAAGTCACCTTTCTCAGAACTAACTCCGTCTTCTCATTATCAAAAGACTAAAACTTACACCAAGCTATTCTGACATGAGTATTTGATAATATTCGTGGCAGAAATCAATATACGATCATTGTTTCTGTTGCATATATCACTGCAGACTATGATTTCGGTCTACGACATCAACCAAACTGCCTTTCCGATACGTTCGACTTCGATACTGGGACAAGACCATGAAGGGGTTGTGACAGCCGGTGGTGGAGTACTCGGCTGACACATACATGCACATACATGCACGCCCAATCCTCACGTTGAGGAACCGGAATGAGTTACACAAGACGACAGCAGTTCGGCGACCAGTTTGGAAAGTGCAATATGCACGCGATGCTCAAAGTCTTGCATATCAGCCCCAGTTTGCGCGAGAAAGGGTACGTGAATTCGATCACATTTTAAGACGAGAAGAAGTATGAGACGGGCTTGTAAATACTAAATGGAGCTTTAAGATGCGCATACTCTACGACTTTAATGTATAATTTCTCGCTGGCGACCACATATGCATTGTGCTGTCGATTTCGGCACTCCAAGTGGTGAGCAAGACAATAAAGGAATCTATACCCAAGCACACTGTCATTAGAGGTGTCGAATTTGCAAGCTCAATAAAGCCACGGTCAGCACAGTGACCTGTACATGGTTAGCATCGTCAGATGGTTCAAGAATGACAATAGAAACTTTGCTGACTACCACATCGTGTGGGTAGTAATTCCAAACAATTTTGTTGGTATTTGTTTAAAAACCAGATGTTGAGTTTGTACGTACAGCTCCGGTATGTGACCGGACAGTGTGTGTGGTACACGAAGCGATATGAGAAACCGATCCTGGTATATTTTGCTCGAATCGCGAGCACAAAGGTACAATAACTAGAGAATGAGAGGCTTCGATCGAACATAGTTGTTAATGCAACAAAACATTCTAGAAGCACCCGGTCGCGAGGTATCGTCAGAGTTATACCACTATTGTAACGGGGTGAATCGTTACATAACAATTTATAAGAAATTGTTAATAGAATATAACTATAAGAGTTATATTCTCAGAATATTGTCATAAGGACAATATTCTGTAGCACTTCCAAGTAGTCCCTAATTGGTTGATATAGGCCATTATATCAACCAACGAAGACGCGCCACGACAGACGCACGCAATGAGTGGTGAGCAGATAACTGATTTACACATTTGTATTTAGACATAGTTAGATGAAGATAAATAGTGATTTATTGCAGACATTAACTATTATAAATACAGTTCTACTTTTACTCTAACCGAGTACTCGCTTCTTCTTACCGTCTTCCTCTGCACGTACGAGTGTACGTGAAGTTACGAGGCACCGCCTTATTCTGTTATCAGAATAAGTAGCTTGTACTGTCACCAGTACAAGCTTCAGGGTGCCCCGTTACACCTGGTAGCACTTCGTAGTCCGTCCAAGGACCGCGTTCACATCCAACATGAATATGTTGGATGATGAAGATGACCAAAGCTTTCACGCTACGCGTGACGGCTACTCCCATTTGAGCGATGTCGAATGGGATGCGGTTGAACGAATGGGTTCGACCATGGGCATCCATGCTGTTAGCGTCATGCTAGAGGCTCTCAATAGAGATGCCCAACATGCTACTATCGTCAAGTTCATTCAAAATGAACTTGACGCAGAACGCGAGAAAGTAGCCTTGATTCACCAACAAGGTTCTCAACAAGCAGAGTTGTTGAGAGAACAAGGTGCTCAACAGTTTGAACTGTTGAGACAGCAGCAGGCTGCTGCTGGCGGGTCGATGCACTCGCGTCGACCCGAGACTTTGAAGATTGACATCTCAAAGTATAGGGGGTCGAAGAAGACTCCCTCTTGAGATGGTTCGTCGAATTGGATGACGCCATAAGGGCGCGTCGCATCGACGACGGGGATATGCAAGTTGCATTTGCCCAGTCAAATCTGGCAGGACGTGCCAAGACTTGGGCACTGGGGCTCAAGCTGCACGACCCATATGCGTTTGGGTCGTTGGAAGTCTTCAAGTCGCGGCTCAGACAAACGTTTGAACCGCCTAGAGCTGAGTTCAGAGCTCGAACCGAACTCTTGAAGCTCAAGCAGGGTAAGCGTGATGTGCACGCTTACGCTCAACATATACGACATCTCACGAGTTGTATAAGTTCCAATCCGGTGGATGAACACACGTTGGTTTCGGTGTTCATGCAGGGTCTTGCGGATGGTCCCGTCAAGACTCACCTGTTCCGGCTTGAACTAGATTCACTAGAACAAGCCATTTCCATTGCGGAGCAGGAAGACTTCAGTCTGAGACAGGCTCGCGCCAGCTCGACATCATATCGTCAACCGAGACGATATGACAACGGAGGTCCAGAGCCGATGGAACTCTGTTATGTAGAGAGCGAGAAGGCTCGCTCTACAGGCTACAAGAAGTTGCAGAGATGCAACAGATGTCAAAAGACAGGACACTACGCTTACGAGTGTAGTGCCCCTCGTCCAGTGTCTCGCGACACTGGGCGTAGTGACCGTCCACCCATGAGAAAGGGGCAGGGACGAGGGTCCGCAGTTGGTGCAAAGACGCAACAACGGGATGGACCGTCAAAAAACGGACAGGATCAGTAGGTGCGGAGCACCCTACTGATCCAGCAACGTCAAGAGAATTTGTAGGCCTCTTGATGAAGGTTGCTCCCAACACACAGACATTGTGCGTTGCTGCTTTAGGTAATGAGATCTCACTCATTACCTTGAAACTCGAAGTGACGAATAAGTTGTCCCTTCGAGCTCTAGTCGATTGTGGGGCGTCCAACAATTTTGTGCGACGCCAATCGCTAGAAGATGGTCACTTTAAATTCAGTGAATGTGACACACCTCCTACGAGGATGACGGTTCGTCTTGCGACAGGCGCATCCGTAACCGTCATGAAGCGTATAGTGAAGATTCGCTATACGCTAGAAGATACCCAATATGACGATGACTTTATCGTATTGGATTTGGATGACAAATTTGATGTCATCCTTGGAATACCGTGGCTCAGAAGGTACGAACCACGGGTAAACTGGCAACATCGGACAGTAACGATGCCTGCCGCTTGTTCATCAGATGGCCATCTGATGAACGTTTTGGAGCGTCCACAAGCGTGTGGATGTACTACGAGTGAGTGCGATGGCCTCACTTGTGGTACGGTCGTTAGTACGACTGCACAAAACCTTAGTGTACCAAACGGTTACACTTCGGAGCAAAGTTCCGGCGGCTGTGAGGAAACACAGGCTGCGCCGAAGGTCCACCACTCGAATAAGTCGGGTGGACTGGGACAAAGATGTATCCCTAGAGGGGAACATCTAGAAGAGAAACAATCGATCGCTCAGGTTAAGCGAAACGATAATCCTAGATCGACTGGAGAGTCTTTCGTAGAGGATCTCGCTGTGGTTGCGCAACCCCAGCTAGAGGAAGTAAAGGGAATAAGTCCCAAGATTACAAATACGGCGGAAATAAGTTCCCCGAAACCCGCGGGAATAAGTCCCCGGGAAGACGAAGGAATAAGTCCTTCGAAGCCTGAGGGAATAAGTCCCCAGGAAATGACAGAGACATTGAATGTCATAGTCAATAACGGATCATGTGTAGGCGCTTATACACTTGATCTGATTGCGCCTCCGAAGTTAACTTCGGAGATCACTCAGTTGCCAACGCTCGAACATAAAAGGTTCTTGCGTGATCTGCGTAGTGGCAAAGTCAAGCAGATCTGCATACTCGTCGCTGACGACGAGTGTGTAACCGACATAAGGTCAGCAACAGTGTTTACTGAGAACGAGAGAGTTCTCAGTAGTTCATCTATGGACGAGAGTGTCCTAGATGAAAAGACACGAATTGAGCGATATGAGTCCCAATCATGGGAATCGCTCAAGGAAAATCCTCTCTATGAAGATTTGGTTGAATTCAAGGATGTATTCCCTGAAACTGTTCCGTGCGAATTACCGAAGGATAAAGGTATTCGACACGAAGTCGAGCTTAAACCAGGCTCGAAGTACTGTGTCATGAAGCAGTGGCCACTGCCTCGTGAACAAGTACTTGCGATCGACAAGTTCTTTGCCGATCGTTTAGCAGCGGGCCATGTGAGGGAATCAACTTCCCCACATAGCTCTCCGACCTTCTGTGTGCGAAAAGCAACAGGAGGGTGGCGGATAGTGCACGCGTTCAACAAATTGAACGCTGCAACGGTACCGGCTCAGACGCCGATACCGAGGAAGGACGTAATCATTGATGGTATGTCAAAGAGTACCATCTTTTCGTCCATGGATTTGATGGATGGCTTCTATCAAATCCTAATGCGGAACGGGATATACCCTATACCGCAGTTAGCACGCCTAGTGGCATGCTCTGGGAATGGCTAGTAATGCCACAAGGGCTCAGTAATGCCCCTGCCACGTTCAACAGGTGTGTATCACATCTGTTGAGGCCAGTACGAGAATTCGCGCCGAGTTATTTCGATGACGTATTCATCCATAGTCGAGCTATGGATGGAAAATCGGACGTTGAGGTTCACAGGTACCACGTCCGACAAGTTCTTACAATCATGCGAAAGCATCAATTGTATGCTAACCTCAAGAAGTGTATATTTGCAGCAAGCGAAATACCACTTCTTGGGTGCATCGTTGGTAAGAACGGTGTACGTCCTGATCCCGAAAAGATCAAGGCGATCACCGACTGGCCTGTGCCAGTCGATGTCAAAGGTCTTCGAAAATTCCTTGGGCTAGCGGCGTATTTGCATAAGTATTCACGCAATTACGCCGAGATGACTGTGGACCTCTCTCGTTTGTTGAAAAAGAACGAGAGGTGGTTATGGAACGCTGAATGTCAACGCTCCTTTGAGGGTATCAAGCAGAGCTTGATACAATCCCCAGTCCTAGCAATAGCCGATCAGTACAGGCCATTTCATGTGGTTATTGATGCCAGCGATTTCGCAATCGGCTGTGCATTAATGCAGTACGATCTTGAAGGCGTTGAACGCGTCGTCTGCTATCAGTCGCGTCAGCTGCAACCAGCTGAGCGGAACTATCCAGTGCATGACAAGGAACTCCTTGCCATGAAGTATGCACTCGCGAAGTTCAGAGTCTATCTATTAGGAGATAGACCCTTCGTTGTTTACACTGACCATGCGTCCTTACGCACGGCAGTGAACAGCCCGCACCTTTCACAACGAATGGCGCGGTGGTTGTCATTCTTTGCAGAATACAACTTTACGGTTGAGTACAAACCAGGACGACTTAATGTCGTCGCTGATGCACTCTCACGTCGTCCCGACTTTGAAACAGTCGCGAAACCCAACAGTGAGACAGTCACTGTTGCGGTTATGACGTCCTCAGTTCCATCTACAACGTTGTATGATGATGTGAGGCGGGCATACGCCCAAGATGGTGAGATAGTGAAGTTGTTGTCACATCTCTCCCAACCATCCCGAGAATCGTTGAAACGATTGTCGCCTGCGTATCGATCTGCATCAGATCGATACACTACTCGTAACGGTTTACTGTATTATACAGCCGTTTCTGGTGACACACCACGTGTTGTCATTCCAGATAATACTGATCTGCGTTTGCGGATCATGTTCGAGTATCACGATGCTCCTATAGGAGGACATCGTGGCCGAGAGAAAACATATCTCACGGTAAGTCGAGACTTTTACTGGCCCCGACAGTATCAGTTTGTGCGAAAGTATGTTCGCGCATGCGAAGTCTGCCAACGAGTGAAGTCAAGTCCTTCACTGCGTGCACCTTTACAGCCTCTACCGGTTCCGGCTGAGTGCTGGGAATCCATCTCAATGGATTTCGTCTTCGGGTTACCCAAAGACGCACGCGGGAATACGGGTATTCTCGTATTTGTTGACAGATTCAGCAAAATGGTACACCTTGTGGCTGTACCAGAGACAATCACGGCAAGTGGCTGTGCTTGCGTCTTTATTGACACCATCTTCCGACTTCATGGGTTGCCCCGTGAACTCGTATCAGACAGAGATCCACGATTCACTGCTGATTTCTGGCGTTCCGTGTTCAAATCACTCGGAACGCGCTTGAAGATGTCAACATCTGATCATCCAGAGTCAGATGGTCAGACGGAACGTGCCAACCGTGTCCTCGAAGAGATACTTCGAGGATACGTACACTCCTTTAAGAGTTGGAGTGAGTTTTTGCCGATGGTAGAGTTTGCCATCAACAACTCGGTGCATGCGTCCACGACACATACACCGTTTTACGTGAATGGCTTGCGCCATCCGCGTGTACCCACCTTACTAGAGTGTAACTCTGGTTTAAGGGGGGGAGGGACTCGCGCGAGCAAAAACCGATTTGGTTCACGCTCATCACGCTCTGACGAAGAAGTCATTGCGTTTGATGCCGATATCGATAACATCGATATCGAAGAAGATGATGCCAGTGAGAGTGCGGAAGCCCTCACTGAAGAAGATGATCCCAGTGAGAGTGCGGAAGCCCTCACTGAAGAAAAGGTTGTTGTCGCTGCAGTGCGCTCACAGCACACTGAAGCTAACGAGTCATCAGATGAGTTCATACTGGCTCGTGAAACGGTAGTCCGTTTTGTGCAAGACTCCATCGCCGAAGCGGTGGATAAGCAAAAGCAAAACGCTGACAAGAATGGAAGGGCAAACACTCTTTTTATTTAATAAAGATGACTTAGTCCTACTGTCTACGGTTAATCTACCAAAACATGTAGTGACTAACTTGGGTAGCAGTAAACTACTACCCAAGTACATTGGCCCATTTCGTGTATTGCACCGCCTAGGCAATGCATACACGATCGAGTTACCACGTAAGATGCGAACGCATCCCACGTTTTACGTTGGTCGGCTTAAGCCGTACCATCAGTACGCTGCTTCTTCCGATGAAGAACGCCCTTGCGCTCAAGCATCTCGCAGAGAGCCTTGTGCTCCCGATGGTGGGCATCAACAAGGGTCTGAAGAGCAGTTATCTCAGCCCGAGACCGATCAACAATCCCACGAGCTACCCTTAGCTCGTCACGAAGAGATGTCAGAGATCTCTCGTTCTCAAGCTGAGCAAAGGCAAACTCAGCTCGATGCTTCGAGGCAGTGTCCACCATCTGGAGACGCCTATTCCGCTCATGCTCGAGATCGTCGCGTAACCCTTGCGTTACGCGATCAAAGCTCTCGGGAACACACCGATCCACATGATCGTGTGGAGAGCGTCTTTCCTCCTCCTCCACCTCCATTAGAGGACTCTCGCGGTGGCCAGCGCTATCTAGTAGAGCAGCTGTTGAACCACCGCGACGTGAACGGACGTCGGACGAGTTACCTCGTCCGGTGGCGCGGCTATCCCCCGTCCTAGGATTCTTGGGAGCCCCGCTCCCAATTGATGGTTGACGTACTGGGTCTGGTCGAGCAGTACGACGCGACACATCCTGTGCCGCAGAAGGACCGCCGGAGAAAGTCTTCCCGGCACGGTCGTAAAGGGATTTCAGGTTGTCAATCCCTTCGTACATCTCAGTAGAGACACGTACGCGCCACCACGGGCTGGTAAGGAGGTAAGCCTCCTTAGGTGCTCGTGCAGAGTTGTTCACACAACATGGGCACGAGTCTCCCCAAGAGAGGCAGGGTAATCCTTTCTCCCTTGACAGACGATGCAGCTTGTAGCGTGCACCTGTCGGGGTTCGCTTTTCAAACTTATCACGAGCTTTGATAAGTTTGTCGTTCCAAGCGTCACGACCTACATCCTCGAGATTATGGATGTAGGCGTTCCACGCTTGAAGTAGTGAGGACCATCACGTTTGTGATTCCCACTGTACCATCGATGTCTGAAGAAAGCATCGATGAAGAACTCATGTTCAGCGCGATAGTCTTTCGCGCTGGGGTCAAGGTGATGAATCCTCGACGAATCGAACAATCGTGTTCGATAACGATCACTCGTCGTCGCCGACAAGTGATCCATGACAGATTTAGGAGGCATCCATGCCTTCTTTTCTGGAGCGAGACGCAACACATTGCGGTCCCGCTCTTCCTGCGACGTGCCGACAGAAGTACTGGCACCTCGCTGTGAAGTGGTGTCCATTGGAGAAACGACACCACTATTAGCGCCCGAGTCTCGCGACCTCGAGCGCCTTCGCTTCGGCGATGGTTCATCTGACTTATCAGATGAACCAAAGATGCTGCGACGCAAAGCATCGTCCATGCCACGCTTGGCAGGCGGCTTGGATTCAATTGCCGTCGATACGGATCCGTCATCCGTATCAGGAGAGTACGAGACACCGAGCTCGTACTCTGTGAAGACACGAGTGTCTTCATGACCAGCGCCTGCATCACCAGGTGATACAGGCTGAGTCGATTCAGCAACCGATGGGATATCAGTTGCTGTAGTTTCTGCTTCGGCGTCCGCACAGAGACGTGCAGACGCGCTCTCGGCGGCCTTGCTCGCGCATCGCATGGGCTTGTTTACCATGCGATGAGATGTTGGAAAGTGGACGCGGACCAACAAGTGCAAACCCCGTCCCAAATGATTTGGGACGAGTATCCATTAGTCAATCAGTCACTAAAGTGACTGATGGTTAAGGGGGGTGATGTAACGGGGTGAATCGTTACATAACAATTTATAAGAAATTGTTAATAGAATATAACTATAAGAGTTATATTCTCAGAATATTGTCATAAGGACAATATTCTGTAGCACTTCAAGTAGTCCCTAATTGGTTGATATAGGCCATTATATCAACCAACGAAGACGCGCCACGACAGACGCACGCAATGAGTGGTGAGCAGATAACTGATTTACACATTTGTATTTAGACATAGTTAGATGAAGATAAATAGTGATTTATTGCAGACATTAACTATTATAAATACAGTTCTACTTTTTACTCTAACCGAGTACTCGCTTCTTCTTACCGTCTTCCTCTGCACGTACGAGTGTACGTGAAGTTACGAGGCACCGCCTTATTCTGTTATCAGAATAAGTAGCTTGTACTGTCACCAGTACAAGCTTCAGGGTGCCCCGTTACAACTATGCTAATCTTATCTAGTAAGGCGGTTTCATCATCTGATCTTTCAATAAGTGAGGCTGCGAAGATCGCCAAGGTGATGGTTGAAGGATGCAATTTTCATCTGGTACGGTGACATGAGTGGGTACGTGGGGTTAGATGTGATTCTATTTTGGGTATCAAGACGTATAGCGCATTGCACTTCAAACCTACTGGGCTTGTAGGATGCTGGACCACAAACATCAACATTCGCATTGGGAGTTGCGATCTGTAGCTTTGCACCTTCAACATCCAGCGGTGACCAGTGTAGAACACGAAAGTGCATTTGTGTACAAGCATCGAATAACACATTTCTTCTAGCGTGTTGAGCCCGCGAATAATTCGTAAATTGATCGTACACGTTATCACCCATTTCCATTTTATACTAAAGCTGTTGCTATCATTTTTCGTCAACCAGTACGCTTGGATGTCACGTCCATTAAAGATGTAAGAATACGCGCATTTCTCGATAAGTTTATACAGGCCTTCGGTCATCCACTATTTGTATACTAGCTGCACTTCGACGCTGAAAACTACTAATAGGATCACCGGTGATGCTAGACACAGGAGCCGCAACAAGTTCAAAATCTCACAAATATGATTACAAAGTGCTTTTAAGCTTCTGTTTAATCGTATTTCGTGCAACGATCGAGTCATGCTCGAATGCCTTGTCTGAAATTTGTAACGTGTCAACACTCGTTACAATACCGGCTCCGTATTTAAAAACTTATCGTGAATGCTTTAAACCTTTCGTGCAAAACATCCAGCGCTGTGAGTACCACCAGACACGTTTCCTCGTATTCGACAAGTCGACGCTATCATTTTTTACGCACGATCTCCGGTATGCTTTATTCGTAAGCGTTTGTAGCAGCTGTGGTCTTTCGCAATGACTAGCAAGGTCAAATTGATGAACGCGGTTTTCTGCTGCTGCTGGTATATTGTAGTGGATGACGCGCTAGATACCGAAATAATCAAGTCTAATAATGACCGTGCATTCGTTTAATTTAACACATCTTTATTTCCTTCAAACATATGTGGCTTCGTTCTGCTCAGACTGGTCTTGACCAGTGAATGGAGGTCGCGTCAATGTCCTTTTACATTAGATACACGTACCTTTCATCAAAATCGTCATAGCGCCTACAAAAATCGATAATAGAGCGGCTAATATTGTTGCAAGAACTCCTTCAAATGTCGTATTCTAGTCGTCTTGCTCCACTACTCAATCTTCTTTATCGCATCCACGTTCGCGGCATCTGCGTGAACGAAGTTAGCCAATAAGGGATGTACAATGGCATCCTTGGAAATGATTGCAGATTTTGCAGCACCGGTGCAGAGATAATCGGCATCCACCTCTGATTTTTCAAATGATTTAAAATTGCTTCAACCAACTCGTTAAAGCTACATACCTGTATACGACTGCCTTCGTTAATCTAACATTCTTCCAATCTCAGATTTATCTTGACTAGCTTAAGATATTGGTTCAGTCGCATAGGAGTAGCTTTTGCGATGCACCCCGCAATTGACAATCTGTAACGGGGTCACACTAGCCATCGGCTAAATTGGTTGAAGACCGTCCAGATGTGATATGGGAGACAAGTGTGGCCTTAGATTTTATACCAATAGAGAATACGGATTAGTCAGTGTTCTCCGAGTTAAGGTAATTACCGAGGATGTTCCTTGCACCGTCATCATCTGATGACTGAGTGATGTGCCAACCATCTATTTTGTTCGAATACTAACATTTGTATTGATTCTAGTTTATTCTAATATAGGGTACTTAAAGTAGAATATTCCTGAATATGCAATCTGAAAAACTCAGTTCTTATTCAGAGCAGAAGTCCGTAGACTTCCCCCTTTCGCACCTTGCGTTTAACAGTTCCTTATAACTTTCGTGGGTTAGAGAGTCCTTTTACTTCTGTATTCCCCTTCTGCACATTGTGCGTGTAGTTCCTTAGAACTACATTAATCTGAGCTAATAGCTCATAGAGTCCGCGCTAGTTCCGTAGAACTAGCCGAATCTTTAACTTGACATATTAGATACTTAGAACTCATGGGCTACTAGCCCTCACAACTAATTGGCTGTTAACCGTCATCCACTGGCTTAACCCGTAAAGTCTTCCTCTGACTTTAGAGCTGTGGTCGCTACGCTACATTAGAGGGGGGGTCTACGGACTTCTGCTCAAAGTGAGAAATGAGTTAATTTAGATTGTATATTTTGGAATATTCTACTTTAAGTACCCTATATTAGAATAAACTAGAATCAATACAAATGTTAGTATTCGAACAAAATAGATGGTTGGCACATCACTCAGTCATCAGATGATGACGGTACAAGGTACATCCACGGTAATTACCTTAACTCGGAGAACACTGACTAATCCGTATTCTCTATTGGTATAAAATCTAAGGCCACACTTGTCTCCCATATCACATCTGGGCGGTCTTCAACCAATTTAGCCGATGGCTAGTGTGACCCCATTACACCCTCCCCCACCAGCCCGACGTTACCACAAAATGTCACTCGACTTGTCTCCGCATTGAGGTTATTACTTTGTAACTTGTCATTATGACCGACCGGGACACCTAACAGACGATAAGTCTCTAGCCAAATTTCTAGGTGTCGAGGAAGTGGACGATAACAGTATTAGTGATGCCGCCAATCCGGGGGAGGAGACTTTCGAACCCAGCATATCTTTGCCTGACCGCATCTCAAGTCCGGCACTGATCCGTTCCCTGAACGCTGTTAGCGCAGTCGCATGGTGCCGCGACTGCGCTAACAGCGCTGGGTGCGATGCCTAACATGGAACCGTCCATCATCATTAACCCACTTGACGAGGAGAAACAACGCATACTCGATCGGGCGGAAAGCGCACGGCGCAAGTCAGAAATTCTGAACACATTTCAGCGACACCGTAATACGCATTCACTCCGCCTGACGTGGAAGAACGCATCCATCAAACAGCTGGCCATACTTTGGCAGGGTGGGCCATTGGCCCTGAGGCGAAAACGCCCACTGAAATCGAATGCCCTAAGGCTCTTCAGAAAAGGTAATTAGAACCTACTGGGATGACCTTGAGTGAGCACCGAGAATACTCCAGAAGCAGGCCAAAGGCACACCGGCTCCACAGATAAAGGGTATACTCGTCTTAGTGTCTGATAGTGAGGAAGACGTCTCAGAGGATAGTGCGTTCACACTCTGTGTACATGGTGTTCGACGCCTCAGTAGTATGGTAGATCTGAGAGCAAGTGCCAGCGTGGCAGACGTTCGTCTGGAGCGAAACTTTGCTACGACTTCGCGAAGTTAAAAACCAAAGGCCGACTGAGAGGAATATCTCATTCCCGCTGTGCTTCGGCTGCTCCTGCAGCCGCAAGTTCACGTCAGCATTTTGACAAAAACCCGCCAGCTCCCACTCTGACTAGTGAGAAGCTTGGTGCTCGTCAAGACGAGCCTGATCGTGGCGCTCAAAAACGTCCACGGCGTATGGACAGTCTTTCCGAAGGGGTATCTCATACTCCCATGAGTTTTCAAGCTCGGGATACCCGTGCCACTTCACCAGGTATTGGTAGTGACCATGACAATGACGTCTTTAATGCAACTTCTCCACATGGAACTGGAGGTTCCCATTCTTATCAAGCAACACCGCTAGCGGTCAGGGTATCGGCTGGGAGTCACTCGGATCTGTCGAAATATGTGAATGGCCTCCGTGAGACTTTGGATCTTATTCAGCATGCTCTGGACGAAGCGCAATCTCTTCTGGCTACGCTCAAAGGCGATCACGCCCGTCTTCAGACGATGAAGACATGTCTGACTCATGTTGAAGCACAGCTTGATCTCTTGATCCGGATGCAACATCCTGTGGCAACGCCAATGTACGCGTATCCAGCGTCCTTGAGTCAACAAGGGACCGATACCGGTACGGCTTAAGCATGCCGACAGAAGACGGGTCAGTGCGAAAATTGCGCGTTAAGCCGAGCATATGCACAAGGCCCTTCTTGGACACGACCGTAAAAGGTCCGATCAAGCGCGGACGAAACTTCTTCTTATATACAGCAGGCACTACATTTGTAGGTCGGTTTTTAGCGCTAAGTAAAACTTGGTCACCGACCTTACAAATCTCAATACATCCTCTTCCTTTTCTATCTGCTTGTTCCTTTTGTTTATCTTTGCTTTCAGCCATTGATTACTGCACATGTCGTAAGACATTCAACCTTGTTGTAAGGAACTCACCAAACTGTTTTTGAACAGTGGCAGGGCTGACACCAGAAAGCCTGTCGGCAATTCCTCCCCCACCAAGCCCTGACTCACGGGATGGTAGCGTTAACGGAGCGCGGGGGGGGTGTTAGACCGTTTACATAGAACGACGTATGACCAGTCGATGCATGAACCGAGTTGTTCATTGCAAACTCTATTACCGGGGGCATGGAGCTCCAACGCCGAGGCGTATCAGCGCACACGCTGCGTAAAATATCCCCAGTAACGAGGTTAACACGCTCGGTTTGACAATCGGTGAGCAGATGATCCGCTGTGGACATGTCCAACCTGGTGCCCAGCACCTTGAATATAGACTTCCAAAACATTTCCGCTAAACCGAGGATTACGGCCTGAAACAATTACCACGGGCAAACCACGTTGACGAAAGATCTGGTCAAAAAACATCTGTGCTGTACTTTCAACATCGATCGATTCGGGCACAGCTGCTAAATGAGCCATCTTGCTAAAACGGTCAACAAAGACCACAATTCCAGTGTTGCCATCCGAATCTTTCGGTAGGCCAAACACAAAGTCCATACTGATGGACCCCTAAAACCCTGTGGGAACAGGTAAACTAGCCAAATTCGCAGCCGCATGAGCGGAAAGTTTGACGCGTTAACCCGTTTCCCTCTTACGCACATAAGTGCTCACCCATTTTTACAATTTGGGTCACCAATAATATTGGCTAACCGAGCCATATGTCTTTTGTCGACCGAGATGACCGCTCAAAGCTGTATCATGCACCTCAAAGAGGATAAGATACTTCAGTTCCGTATTAAGAGGAACTACAATGCGCGAAGTATCCGCCGCATCCGTGCTATAGCACAGCAAGCCAGTATAGCGAGAAGATCAATGTAGCCCCGCACGTAATCGTGCCGACAACTTAATGTCCGAGCCTATGAACTCATCACAGCCTAATGCGCGCAATAACGCGACACATTGCTCATCCTTGACATAAGCCGCACGTATTAAATCAGGGATAGACGAAGATAAAGTCGTATTATGAGCAAGCTCGTAATCGGGACTGCGTGACAACGCGTAAGCCAAAGCATTTTGCTTCCCTGGCTTGTACTTTACCTCGAATTTATATTCTGCAAAGATTGATATCCAACGGGCCATTCGTTGTGAGAGGTGAGGCGACTGGGTCGAAGTGCGTAATGACGCATGATTTTTATAGATCACAAAAGGCTTTGAGCCAAGAAGGTGTACTCTGAATTTGACAAGAGCGTACTTCATTGCCAGTAGCTCCTTGTTATGAGCTGGATATTTCGTTTCTTCAGCTTTTAGCTGGCGCGACTCATACGCGATGACGCGTTCATAACCATCGACATCTGTCTGCACTAAGGCACTGCCAATGGCAAAATCGGACGCGTCACAGACGACACTGAATCGTCGCTCCGGGTTAGGCAAAGCCGATTTTGGGGCATAAAGGATGCTATCCTTGATAGCCTGGAAAGCTTGAGCCTGGACTGTGTCCCAATACCAAACCGCATCCTTTTTGAGGAGGTTTGTCAATGGCCTTGCCATATCAGCGTAATTCGCACTATACTTGCGCAAGTAATTGGCTAAACCGAGCCATTTTCGCAAGTTCTTTTGGTTTGACGGAACCAGCCAATCCACAATGTATTGAACTTTAGCGGGATCCGCCTGCATGCCACGCTTCCAGTAAAGCACCCTAGGGAGAGGATTTTTCAGCACCAAATATGCACTTTGATGCATTCGCATACAACTTGTTGGTGCGCATGCACCCGAGCACTGCTCGTAAATGGTCTATGTGATTCCTCACATCTAACCTTCTTTGTTCCGCACGGCTATGGGCAAAAATGTCGTCAGAATAGCTTTGTGTATATCCTCGGTGAGGTCGGAACAACTGCGTCACGATACGATTAAACTTTGCAGGGGCGTTAGATAGCCCTTGAGGCATGACAAGCCACTCCCAAAGCATGCCGCTTGGAGTATTAACCAATGTGAGCGGAATATCACTCGCTCGTATGAGCAATTGATAATACCCATCGACCAAGTTAGGTGCGCTGAACGTGGTACATCTCACAATAGTGTTCTGAAGAACATCCTTTCTAGGAACAGGTTTATGTGCTGGTATAGTCACGGCGTTAAGCTTATTGTAAGCATGACAATACGCCGCTTACCATTAGGCTTCCTGACACAAAATTTCGGTGTCGAGTTCGAAGACTTGCTCTCAAACACCCTGCCAACCGCGTGCTTTGAACGAAAGAACTCGTCAATGACGTCACACTGTTCCTTAGGTAACTGCCATTGCCTTGTAACATAATATTTGGTCCCAGGAACCAGGTCAAACTTGTGGTGAAGTCGATCTCACAAAATTGCTTGTATGAGTGTCGATCTTCCACTTGCCCAGACTTGCCGACTCACGGAGGGGGTACTCCGATCCGTGCCTTGTTGTATGACCTTGTGCTCACCTTGTGTACCCGTCGGTTGGGCTGGCTTGAGCTCTTCGTAACGGCCTTGGGAGATGTCGATCTCGCTGAGAGGTTGGGTTGAGGGTTCGCTTCCGGTGCGGAAATCTTCACACCACGAACGGGGGTTCTGCGATCCCGATCTTGGATCGCACCGATCTTGATTTGTCTTCGAGATCGGGGTCTTTGCTGTGCGGAAATCTTCACTCAGCAAATAAAAGTCCTGCGTCGATCTTGCCTTGGGATCGATCCGATCTGGTCTTGGGATCGGCCGATCTTGCCGGAAGTGCGCAATTTGGGTAGACCGGTGTCTTGTTTCGCCAAAATGAAACGTGCCGATCTGTCCAGGGGATCGCTTCGATCCTGCTCGGTCTTGTCTTGAACGCCTTGTCCAAATCTTCTGACCACTTGAGCCGTCTCGCGATCCTGTGTCCAAAATCCTTTTCCTTTTCCGTTGTGTGCTGCTACCCTAGCAGTTGAGTTGAGTGTGAGTACTTGATCGATCCGGGCCAGATATCCCGGGATCGCTCTTCTCGATCTTGGCCAACAATCCAAGATCGGTCTTCTGTGTCCCTGTAACACGCGTGCCTTAACTCGCCGGGGAAGCCAAATCAATCCTGCCTGGAGAAGAGGGGAGGATAACGTGCGTCGTGAGCAGAAGAAGTAGAGTTCAAGTCTGTTTATTAACCAACCAAATTACTATCCAACCTACCCTTAAGCCTATTCTTGACTATAGGTCACTATTCAAACCGATATCGCCTTGAATCTGGTTTGCCCCCTTGCCACGTGTCGAAATTTCGTGCCCTGTACTCCAATGATAGCGCCAATATTCCCGATATCGTACCTAGAGCACCAAATGGACCAAAATCTCCTATATGGTACCAAATACCCATTCTTGGCACCCAAGTACCCAATATATGACCCAAAATGCCGAATGTGTCCAAATTCACTTTGCGACGTCAATTCGGACAGCTTCCACTGGCTCTTTCGGCATAAAACTTCTTGACATCACTTAGTGACCTCTATCAAGTATATTCCACATGATCCAGTATCTTCATCAACCATATATTCATGATCAGTGTGGAACATGGCCGATCTGTCATCCAATATCGAGATGTTGGAGGTCGATCCGGTCTAAATCGGCAATTAACACTTTTTCATCTCCTCATACGTGCTTCAATATCATCCTCCAGTGTTATCCAATCGACAACTTCATTCATACGTCTCGACATCGGTTTCCTTGACTCCCCTGAGTATGCAAAACTTCCAGATCGGTGTATAATTAACCAAAATCAGTACTCCCAATTTAGGACCGGTAAAGAGTATCACCGATCCGTATGGTGTTGCACCTTCTTTGCCGATTCACCGACCCGTACCACCTGGTCCCAGATGCACTTTGGGGAGTCACCTTGTCACAGATGTGTCAATTCTCCAACAAACCGTTGCCACAACATGTCGATCTGCGATCTGATCTCAGCCTGCTTCAATGTACGTATACTTCTTCTTGACCGGCATTCCAATGCGCTGTATGACTTCATCCCGATGTCTGGTTCCAGATCGCCCCATAACATTCTGCAAGATGTTACACCTTCGTCGCAGAGTCATATCCCATCACCCGGTCCCAGATCCTTGTCCTAGATTGTTCCATGTAAATCGTTCCAGATCGCTCCGTCCCAGGTCGATCCATACCCATTAGTCTAACGACAGTTGGATCGGTTCGCCAATCCCGTTAAGATCATCTTCCACCTCCGTATTGGATCGCCGAGTCTCATGGCCTCCTTTTCCACCAGTAAGCGGCGCTTTAAAGGTGTGGCCACCGATCCTCGTACAAAATTTGAGTAGTGACTTTGCCACAACCGCCCCCTGTACTGAAGTCTTTTGTACAGCAATTGACCTCAGTACAGTCACTCATCAACTTCATTCCAAGCACTCAAGTCCGTCTCATGGCCTCTCCGACGCATCCACCCACCTCGCCGATCTCTTCATTCAGGAAGGTAATTCACTTGACTATCTCCATACTCACATTCAAAAATCTCATCCACCAGCATGTGCTACCGTCTAGCAAATCTTTCAACCCCTACATCCGCATATGCTACCTCCCGCATACTTGTTCGAACTGTTAAGGTTCGTCCGACTTGCCTTCATGAGACTGCATTACATCGAAACGGTTTCGACTCACTCGGTTCCGCTCAAACTCTTGCAAGATCGCCCCACAACTTAGATCGGCCTCGTCCACCCAACTTAGATCGGGATATCCCTTCCACTTCACCACAAACTGCCGGTGTACTCGCCCATAACGGGTTTTTCTACCAGATTGCACGTCCAATATTGCCTCTACTTCGTATTCCCCTTCTTCAAGATCGCCATCCCAACTGTCTTCTGGCAGCAGAGCTTCATCGAAATCCAAGCGATCTGATCCCTCTATCGTAAGCTGATCCTTCGGGCGTTCAGGGAACGTCTTTACCTTTTATAGCTTCGATATATGTACAATCGGAAATAACCGATATGGGGTTCCAGCGATCTCCAATTTTACAGCATGATCTCCACATACGTCCGCAACTCGGAATGGCCCATGCCACATGTGCGCTAGCTTCTTCGCATGTCCCTCTTTAACTCGGTCCAGGTATAGCCAAACTTTCGCTCCTACTTCGATCTCGTGTGGTTCCAGATCTTCGTTGTGTCGATCCGCTCGCTCCTGGATCGCGGCTTGTAAACGATCGTTCACTGCGGATCGGGCTCGCTGGTATTGTCTTTGGATTTTGTATCTCCACCTCTTTGGATCGCGATCTCGTGTCCCCGTATTTCCCACTGGTAGCGTAGCCTCCAAAGTCGATCGCGGGTCCCACCCATGGATCAGATAAAACGGGGTATCCCCCCGGATCCGATCTTGTGCAGTGTTAATGGCAAATGTGAGCCGCTCAGCATACTCATCCCAGTATCGCTGGTCAACTTCAGCCACGTACATCTTGAGCGAATGTGTCAGGGTTTGCACCATTCGTTCGGCTGTTCCATTTGCTTGTGGCCTGTAAGCCATAGTAGCACGCTGATTTTGTCCTACGATCCGACTGAAGGCTCGAAAGAAGTCGGACATAAATCCCGGTTCTCGATCGTGCCTGATAGCCTCGCTAGCTCCGAAGCGTCAAAACATATATTCTTCGTAATTCTCCGCTATTGGTTGTGCCCTTCGAGAGGAGCTAGCCTTTGCAATCACATATCCCGAGAAAAGGCCGACCCAAATGAGCAGTTCGGTGTTCCCCGTGATGGACTTGGGCAACGACGGTATATGATCCATGGCGATTAACTGGAATGGATAGGTTGCGTGCAGATTGCCCGGGGATTTCCCATGAATCATCGGGTTTCCTTTCCCGGTCTCACAGTCGGTACATTCGCCCACATATCGTTGAACGCTCCGATACAGTCCTCTACAATGAAATCGCGATCTGATCCTCTGATAGGTTCGTCCAATACCCTGATGGCCTCCTTCCAGACTCGTGTGATAGTGATGCAAAAAATCCTGCTGAAACGTCTCAGGGATCACCAACCGCATCAAACCATCGCGATCTTCCGACTCTCTTTTCGCCATGGGGCAAAAAAATAGCAGATTGTTCTCATCGATCTCGTATTCCGGTGCCAGTTTGGCGCACATCTTCACTTCTACCGCATCCAAGTTTGATACATCGCCACTTAGATATGTCTTGAGATTGACAATCCAACGCTCTTCATCTTGAGCTTGGACAATTCGTTGAATCCTAGTCCTCTGTACTATCTCCTCCTGTATCACTTCAGGTTCATGACGTATCCTCCCGGCTGATCTCGTGATCGCAGTTATTCGAGCCAGCTGACCATTTTGCTTGGGCTTCAACAATTCATCGAGACGGTTCAGGGTCATCAGATCCTGCCGATCCTCTTCAGCTACAACGGTTCTTCCCTTTTCATTCTGCAATGCTGTGCTGGCTAGTCGATCTGCGATCTGGTTCCACTCTCGCTTCATATGCAGAAACTCGTGACTAGGCCAAGATCGCGATTTCTCTAACGCTTTATGTTTCAAGAGTCGCTGGCCCGGGGCTTTGCAGTCGATCTCACCGCGCATCTGGCGGATTACCAAATTAGAGTCCCCACAAAAGATTATTCTTCCCCTGTCCAGATCGGCCAGTAGATCGAAGCACAGTAGCAAGCCATTATACTCAGCTTCATTCACAGTCAGATCGTGAACATATCTCGATTCGGCCGCCACGATCGTCCATTCGGGTAACTTCCATATCACGGCATTGAACGACACTCCTTTCTTTTTTATCCTAGCCGATCCATCGAAACTGGCCACCAGCAACTCCTCATCTGTTTCCACCGTTGGAGGAGGCATAGATATTTTGAGTCGACAGTCTTTTCGTGGGGAGATCGCAATCAGCATCTCTTCCACTTCTCCTCTCGGAGTGATACTCGCTGCTAACATGCCCAGGATCTCTTCCTCTCCTCTTTCACATTTCTGCACCTCCATAGTCCAATTTGACAACAAAGCAGCCCACCGTCCTAATCTCCCGTTGAGCCCTCGAGACTGCATCAACCAGGCTAACGTAGAATGTCGGGTCAGTACAGTGATCTCCCGCGAGGCAAGCGTAGTATAGCATACATCCAACACACGAAGTAGCGCCAGCACTTCTTTTTCTACCGTTCCGTAGTTAAGCTCATTAGGCTTTAAAGTGCGGCTAGTAAACGTAACCGGATGATAATCGCCATCGTACTCCTGTATCAGGGCCGCTGAGACAGCCCACTTGCTAGCGTAGACCACGATTACGGGGGACCGATCTGGGTCGAAATGCTTGAGCATGGGAGCTGTTCCTATCTTAGCTTTTAGCATAGTGAAAGCAACCTTGGCTTCCGTCCATCGACCCTCGTTGGAGCATTCGTCTCCTGCTGCAAGCTGAGATTGGCCGATCTCGAAGAAATCCGATTCTCTTAACTCATACAACACCGCGGCATACACCGCGAAATCCTCAATGAAGCGACGGTAGTAGTTCAAGCTCCCGAGAAAGGATTGCATAGCTCGTAGCGTGCTAGGAAACGGGATGTTAACCAACGACTCTAGGTTCTTGGGCTGAGCCTCCAGACCATCCATCGACACTCGATTTCCCAAATAATCGACCTTACGGCACCCCCAAAATCTCTTCGTGAGGCTGATAGACAGATTCCACTTATCACATGCCTCCAGCAACCGTTCTACTTTTGTGTACAAAGATCCCCATGACGTGGCTGGTATGAGAATATCGTCAATGTAAGATCGGCGTCCCAGTAAAGACGGTCGTCGATCTGTCTCAGGTTCTCCATCTTTGAACACGTCGATCGGGCCATCAGAAGCTGATCTCTGGCCGATCTTGAGATATCCATACAACGCATGGTCCACCAGACGTTGGTAGATCTGGGGCGCGTTTTTAAGCCCAAAAGGCATTCGCAGCCACTCGAACAAGCCAAACGGTGTGACAAACGCTAAAATCAGTTTTGCTCGTTCAGTCATTTCGACGACCCAAAATCCACTAGCCATGTCTAGCGAACAGTACCATAGAGCTTTATCCAGATCTTCCAACAGATCGCTGATCAACGGCATGGGATAAACCATCAGACGCGTCAGCTGGTTCACTCTTCGATAATCAATGCAAAGGCGAATATCCACTCCGTTCTTCTTGATGATCACCACTATCGGAGACGCCCAAGGTGACGTGGATGGCGGAACGATTTTGGCTGCTAATAGTCCTCTGATGAGATCTGACAGCTTCTCCCGATATTTGGGTGCAACCGGACGCACTCTTTGCGCTATCGGTGCTGCCCCACCGACATCAATATCACAGATCGCGCCTCGTGCTGCTGGTGGTAGAGCGTTACCTTTACCCATGAGGAGGTGACGGCTCTTCCAGATCAGCGATCTGAGCTGTTGTTAATCTGTGGTGAGAGGCACATCGGGATCGCCGATCTGAATGTCCTCAATCGTAACTTCTTCCGTAGTAGCCGACATCTCTGGTAGCACGGCAATATGCTGCTCGATATCTTCCGCAAACAAATCTCCGCTCTCGTGGTGATAAACTGGTATTTCTGCAATCTCGACGTCTTCAGTATTTAGCATTATTTCTTCTTTAGGCTCCTTCGTCTCTTCCGGCTGGCCCAATTTCAACAGTCGGTCAGTCGGCTCAGCCTTCGGTAGAGACGATCTGTCACGTAGCCCTTCTTGCCCGGTGTCGCGGTCTCCCTTCGTTGCATGTTGGGTACCGATCTCATGACCGTTCTCCATCCGCGATAGTTCGGCTCCCCTGACCGTTACTTCCCTCGCAAGTACAGCATCTGCCTTTTTGCAAATCGTCATCGTTAGCTTGCGGCGTTACCGTGGAGATCGCCGGAGACAGGTTCTGTAACGCATCAGACGGACGTTTCAAGATGCTTTTGGGAGCGGCATACGTAGGACGATCTACCAATGGTCCGATCGGTTCTTCGGGAGTTCGTTCACTCGATCCGTCGTAGCCTCATATGCCAGAGTTTGCCATTCCTTGTACTTCCCCGACCCGACTGTCACCAAACCTTGAGTTCGCGGTACCATATCGCCTTCGACACACATGCCTAATATAGTGTGGGTGGGCAGTATGATCTCACGGTCGCCAATGTTGGTCATCTTCAGGTATTTCGTCTTACCCCACCCCGAGATCACAGTGGGGACCCAATCTAGTCCTCTAGCGACCCACAACTTCATCTTAGCCCCTCCGATCCCGATTTTCACTTCCCTTGACTCTCCGACCGGGATCACCACGTGTTGGTCCTTCGCCGTTATATGTTGTATCTTCGATCCGTACGCGGGGCGACGTCCTGCGAGATGACTGCGGATTTCTTCTGGTAGACATAGCGCGCCATCCGCTAGATCGAGCCGCACTCCAGCAGGCACCATAAAATCCATACCCAGAATCGCTTCTTGCTCTGCCAGATCGCCTACCCATACATTGAAATAGTATACCAGCGATCCCGCGAGGGTCACCTTGATCTTGGTACGTCCTACCGTCATGTACGGAGTTTCTCCAATCCCGATACATTCTTGTCGTTGACTTTCGTCAATATTGCAACCGATTTCACGAGCAAAGGTGGTTTCAATGATCGACACTTCAGCACCAGAATCAAATAACAGAGTAGCTTTTACGTTGTTGATCTTGCCAACAGCTTTCGCTTGTTTGAACCACTTCCCGGGTGAATAATGTTTCCAGTATCCGCGAGATTCACCATAAGCGAGCTCGATCTCCATAGCTGGTTCAGATCGTGAGTACTCATCGATCCGCTTCAGATGGGACACGGAAGCGACACGTTTTAACTTCGAACGATATATATTTGTTTCCACGTCAATATCCTGCTTGCTCCCGCGATCTGTCTTCTTTTTTGTCACGTATGCAATAATGCAGAGCACAGAACGCTCGGCTCGTACCAGATTCAAACCTGGCGAGCGTCCTAGTTTGACATCTTCTTGGCCTTCTCTGGTAGCATCCCCGCATGCTTATTCGGGACGTACCACTGACGGATCATGTTGTAGAACTCCTCCATGGGACACTTCCCCGGGTCGTGCATCTCACCGCAAGCACGACACACGAAAAAACAATTGTCAGAGGGGTGTCCTTTACGCCCACACTTCTGGCAAGTGAGCCGCTTCCAGCAATCGAGATCTCCATGCTTGGTCGATCCGCAATGAGTACACGGCTTCAATGGCATATTGCGATCTTGATAGTCTTGACGAGTGTTCGGGTCGACCGATCTCGCGTTTGCTGCAACGTCATTAGGGGATGAACGGCGATCCGCAGTAGCAGCCACATGGATAGATCTCAATCGATCTTCCAAATCCGATCCGCAGGTGCCCGATCCTGACTCGCTGCAGACGTCCTCGGTACGGACCATCCTTACCGCTCGTGCAGGCTTAGATAGCGCTGGACCCTGAGTTCCCTTCTGCCTGAATTTGGACAATCCCATCATCACTTTCCCTTGACGCGATCTCCCTTGTTGATATCCGTGCAGTGTCTTTTGCATGGCCTCCGCGTCTTCTACATTCAGCAGTAGCAATTGATTGGACAGATCGGGGTCGTCCAAGGTGTCAATGAAATGATTGACATGTTCCTTGCGCGCAGCTGGCAATCCAGTCATCACCGGTATCTTCGCCTGCATTCCCATCACATTAAGCCGATACAGGTACTGTAAGGGATCTTCTTCCGATCGTTTCTTTGCATGGTAGTACTGCCTGCTCGCGGACATCCCGTGTCCCGCATACTCCACAAGAAAACTGTTCATCAATTCTTTCCAATTGAATCTCGTCGATCTACTCAGCTGTCGATACCAGTAGCGGGCTGGGCCCACCATGAGATCACCGAAGACCAGACATCTCTCCTCGTCCGGTGCTTGGTCCCGGATAAACGCTGATTTCACTTTGCCGATCCAGGTCCGTGCTTTATCTTCTTCCCGATCCTTCCCTGAGAATTCTTTCAGCTCAGAAATCGCTGAGATTCTGATCCTCTGCGTGATGCTTCCCCCTCCGGTAGTCGCACCGGTCGCGGCTACATGAGGGCGCCGTGGTTCGGGCATCCATAGATCATCCGGGTCGTATTCCGCCGCCTCATGGATATGTTGGTAACTGTCCGACCCCACCGACTCTCTCCACATCCGGCATGTCAAGGCTTTCGTGTGAAGGTTGGAGCAAAGTATGTCGATCTGGGTAGCGGTTTGGCTGTCGATTCATTCGCTGAGCTGTACGTTGATCCGCCTCGTACTTCTTCATGGCTGAATTGAAGTACCGACTTAGATCGCCCTCTTCTTGATCATCCAGCCCAATGCGGGTACTGGCCGATCTCTGCGGCATGTTACTCTTGGCTTGTCCCTTATAGGCGTCTATCTTGGCTAGTCCGATCTTGTCCTTCAAGAACCTTCCACCCGATGGTCCTAGAGACATCTGACAGATGCTGATGGATCCATCTGACTCGCTCTCGGAGTCATCCGAGGCGTAGCGGGGCGATCCCGCGGGGTGTTTACGGAGTGAGCCCGAGGGCGTCCCGATCTTGTCTTCAGGAGTATTCGCTTTGCCCACCAGCATTATCATGATCTCTACAAACTCATTCGCCGCGTCCTTCAACTGTTCCAAGCTGCAACTCAGCAGTTCATCTCCATCAAAAGCGTCAGGGCAGATACCCATGTCGTCCAACATCTGCAAAATCAAATTGATCTCGTCGACTTAGTTGGTCCCGTGAAGTGGGACCGAGATCGGCTTATCCAGAGGACCAATCACCTTGGGCCTTAATATCTTGAACACTGGGTCCGTCTTGAGCAGCGTCTTCAACTGGCCATAATAGTACTGCCATTTTGCACGCTCCCGCGCTTCACCCGTCGTCTCCTTCTCCCTGGACGCGATCTTTATTGGGTTATATTCCGTCTTTGGCATCGAGATCTTATCTGGTGTTTCATCGTATTCCTCTTTGGCTCCGATCTTCGATTGCACGATTCGGCCGATCTGGCGATCTTTGACATCTGATCCCATCGATCTCGTCGCGGATCGTTCTGATGTGGTCGATCTCGCGATTGTGCTCTTCGGCTTGAGGTCGGGCGATCTATCGACTAAGATATAGGGTTTGGCTTTCGCAGATTTGGTTTTCACCATTGGATTTTCATCCAGCAGATCGCTCTTTGCAGAGCGATCTGCGGTGGCCCCCGAAGGGACCCTAGGAGGGAATTGAGGTTTATCTTCCAGATCGATCTCTCGATCTTCCTCTTTCATTTTCATTTCATCAGAGCCCCTCCCAAAACTCTGATGATCTGAGGATCTTGTGCATCTGCGTGTCTGCGTCGATCCCTTTGTCGCTGACACTTCAATCCCAGTTTCTTGCTCAATCTTGACATCTTCGCCAGTGGACTCACGGTGAAATCCAGAGGCCTCAGAAGATCCGGGCACGCGCACCATTGTGGTGAAGTCGATCTCACAAAATTGCTTGTATGAGTGTCGATCTTCCACTTGCCCAGACTTGCCGACTCACGGAGGGGGTACTCCGATCCGTGCCTTGTTGTATGACCTTGTGCCCACCTTGTGTACCCGTCGGTTGGGCTGGCTTGAGCTCTTCGTAACGGCCTTGGGAGATGTCGATCTCGCTGAGAGGTTGGGTTGAGGGTTCGCTTCCGGTGCGGAAATCTTCACACCACGAACGGGGGTTCTGCGATCCCGATCTTGGATCGCACCGATCTTGATTTGTCTTCGAGATCGGGGTCTTTGCTGTGCGGAAATCTTCACTCAGCAAATAAAAGTCCTGCGTCGATCTTGCCTTGGGATCGATCCGATCTGGTCTTGGGATCGGCCGATCTTGCCGGAAGTGCGCAATTTGGGTAGACCGGTGTCTTGTTTCGCCAAAATGAAACGTGCCGATCTGTCCAGGGGATCGCTTCGATCCTGCTCGGTCTTGTCTTGAACGCCTTGTCCAAATCTTCTGACCACTTGAGCCGTCTCGCGATCCTGTGTCCAAAATCCTTTTCCTTTTCCGTTGTGTGCTGCTACCCTAGCAGTTGAGTTGAGTGTGAGTACTTGATCGATCCGGGCCAGATATCCCGGGATCGCTCTTCTCGATCTTGGCCAACAATCCAAGATCGGTCTTCTGTGTCCCTGTAACACGCGTGCCTTAACTCGCCGGGGAAGCCAAATCAATCTTGCCTGGAGAAGAGGGGAGGATAACGTGCGTCGTGAGCAGAAGAAGTAGAGTTCAAGTCTGTTTATTAACCAACCAAATTACTATCCAACCTACCCTTAAGCCTATTCTTGACTATAGGTCACTCTTCAAACCGATATCGCCTTGAATCTGGTTTGCCCCCTTGCCACGTGTCGAAATTTCGTGCCCTGTACTCCAATGATAGCGCCAATATTCCCGATATCGTACCTAGAGCACCAAATGGACCAAAATCTCCTATATGGTACCAAATACCCATTCTTGGCACCCAAGTACCCAATATATGACCCAAAATGCCGAATGTGTCCAAATTCACTTTGCGACGTCAATTCGGACAGCTTCCACTGGCTCTTTCGGCATGAAACATCTTGACATCACTTAGTGACCTCTATCAAGTATATTCCACATGATCCAGTATCTTCATCAACCATATATTCATGATCAGTGTGGAACATGGCCGATCTGTCATCCAATATCGAGATGTTGGAGGTCGATCCGGTCTAAATCGGCAATTAACACTTTTTCATCTCCTCATACGTGCTTCAATATCATCCTCCAGTGTTATCCAATCGACAACTTCATTCATACGTCTCGACATCGGTTTCCTTGACTCCCCTGAGTATGCAAAACTTCCAGATCGGTGTATAATTAACCAAAATCAGTACTCCCAATTTAGGATCGGTAAAGAGTATCACCGATCCGTATGGTGTTGCACCTTCTTTGCCGATTCACCGACCCGTACCACCTGGTCCCAGATGCACTTTGGGGAGTCACCTTGTCACAGATGTGTCAATTCTCCAACAAACCGTTGCCACAACATGTCGATCTGCGATCTGATCTCAGCCTGCTTCAATGTACGTATACTTCTTCTTGACCGGCATTCCAATGCGCTGTATGACTTCATCCCGATGTCTGGTTCCAGATCGCCCCATAACATTCTGCAAGATGTTACACCTTCGTCGCAGAGTCATATCCCATCACCCGGTCCCAGATCCTTGTCCTAGATTGTTCCATGTAAATCGTTCCAGATCGCTCCGTCCCAGGTCGATCCATACCCATTAGTCTAACGACAGTTGGATCGGTTCGCCAATCCCGTTAAGATCATCTTCCACCTCCGTATTGGATCGCCGAGTCTCATGGCCTCCTTTTCCACCAGTAAGCGGCGCTTTAAAGGTGTGGCCACCGATCCTCGTACAAAATTTGAGTAGTGACTTTGCCACAAACTCATGACGCACACCTCTGTCGGGAGGTAGGGTATATAGTGGATCATTACACACTACAGCCTGAAATTTCCTAAACAAAGGAGTAGAAGGGTTCCAAATGATCCTTTAAGATAGCAGATTCACTGCGAGCACTAAGAGCAACTTAAATGTCGTCGAGGAATATCTCATCCAAAAGGGATGGTGAGTTTGTCTCTAGGTAAGGTCTAAGGGCCACCATTTCAGACAAAGCACCGGCCCTCAAAGATTGTTGAAATTAATCTACAGACATTTGTGGTAAAGCAGGCCAAGACAATTTGGGCGATCGTTGCTGCGGCAAAGCGGATCGAAACAATGGAGGAGATCGTTGGGTGGAGTGATCGCAAATCACGACAAATCGCTGAGAAGGAATGATTGGCTGTTAAGTTGCGGGATGTCGAGATCGAAAATCACAACAGCGAGATCGATTATCACGACAACGAGATCGAATATCACAATAAGGGGATCGAATTTCACAATAGAGGGATCGAATATAACAATAACCGGATCGAAAATCACAACTAGGCGATCGGCGATCGGGGAGATCAGCGATCGGCCAAAGTGATCGACCAAGGTGATCGACGAAGGTGATCAGCGATCGGCCAAGGTGATCGACGATCGATCGAGTGATCGACGATTGGGATGATCAGCGATCGGCCAAGGTGATCGACCAAGGTGATCGACGATCTTGATGATCAGCGATCGGTCAAGTGATCGACGATTGGTAAGATCAGCGAGCGGCCAAGGTGATCGACGAGCGATCAAGGTGTGAACCACATATGCTAAAGGACGATCAACGAAAGGTAGAAGACACATGGCGGCATATCCTGGCACACAGACAGGCATACTCGCACTTTTTAGATTTTGGTTGGTGGACATTAAACAGAATTATTATTACTTCTAAGTACACGTGTCAACTTCTCTTCCGGGCTGGAATATTGGCCTCCCGACGTCAACAAAGTTTCATATACTTTAATCAAGTGATATCCCCAGATAATTGGCTGGGGATCAAGAACTCTCAAAACAACCCCAACTGCGATCGGACGCAGCAAGAACGTAAAGGACAAGGCGCAAGATCGCGAGACGGCTCAAGTGGGCAGAAGGCTCGCATCAAGCAACAACATATTGGACAAGGCGATCTCTTAGAGATCTAAGTGGCTTACATCAAGTAGCCTACAAGCACTACCGTGATCGCGTGAAGATTTCCGCCCGATCACAAACCCCATTCCAAACACGGTCAAGTTTTCTCTCGAAGCGAGTCCACCGAGAAGAGTGCAGCCCGCCCTACCGACGGGTACACAAGGTGAGGAAGGAAATACAAGACACAGAAACGGAGTACCCCCTCCGATATTCGGTCGTCTGGGCACCAGTGGAGAGTCGAGATTGCCTCATAAAATGAGCGATCGCCGCTCCACCACACATTTCGTCTAGCTCTAATAGAGTGTTAAGCGATGGAAGGGCCTCGAGGCCAATTTATCCATCAATATCGCCCGTCACCCCATTGGCCAATGTGTACAACTGTTAACAGGCGTCCTCTTGGAACTTGGCAGATGCCTTTCGTTTTGCAGCAGCCATATGGCGTCACTGCCGCCTCTGCACAGAGAATGAACACTTCAACGTGTTAGGAACATCCGGTTCCACGAGTTGAAGATCAACTCCAACCTCAACATGCTCTATCTGAGAGCCAATGTCATCACCGACATTAAGTTTGGTGCCATCGCGGCCGACCCCACTCTGTGGATTATTTTCCACGATATTCGCATCAGATGAGCATGGCTCTCGATGCCTTGGTGAATTACCAACAATGTTATTAGCGACATTCAGTGGGGTTACATCACGACCGACCTCACTCAGTGGAGTACGTGCCACTGCACATGCACCATTCGGGGCTAGCCCTGGATGCCTTGGCATATTGTCAACAATGTCATTACCGACTTTTGGTGAGAAGCTGTCTCAGCCTCCCCCACCCGGTGGATTTATACGTGCCACTCCACGCGCATCGCAGGGATTACATCCAGGATGAATCGTCTCAAGGCCATCAATGCTACCAGCATTCAGTGATTCAATATTACCAGTGTCACTCAACGGAGTACGTGCCACTTCAATATTGTTAATGACATTAGAGATAATTAGCTCAGACACTCTAGTGTCCAGAACACTAACATGCCCATTTATTGGCTCGCGCAAATAGCGCTTTTTTTGCCTAGCAAAGGTGGGTTCATGACTCTTCAACGCTTCGCTGGAAAGGTCGCGCGTTGCGCCCAAGGTCTTTGACCTCAAGTCAACCCATGGTTCATAGCGTTTCAGCCAAGACATCCCCAGAATGAGATCATACCTCGAGTCCAAATCAAAGACAAGACAACGTTCAATACTATCGAAGTCTAAAAAAGTTACGCCTAAGTTCAATGAACTTTAAGTACGGTGACACGGGTACCTGTCCAAGCGAACAGTGATAACATCACCCTCATGCACTTTGAGCGCCTCAGTGTACTGCTTACATTCCTCAAGGGATTGGCGCCGAACAAAGTTGCCCGACCCCCAGAGTCAATCAAAATTGACCACGGCTCTTTGAAGCCCTTTAGATTATCCGATGCAACTAGCAAGACTAGCTTATACTCACGCCTCGTGGCGGCCTCCACGAGTCCGTATGGGGCTAAGCCCTGTCTATCTCTACCACCTAAAAATTCGGCAGAGCCTAGTCCCCCCCCAGTAGGCGTGGGGCGACCTACTGGGACTTGACGTTTTCCCGCTCCGTGCCCATCTTCGGGTTAGAAGACGGATTGCGGCTCTGCCGACTTTGACACGGTTTTCGCAGCGAAAAATGTGGACGCAAGTGTTTGGTGCTCCCGCACGTGTAACATCTACGAATATTACATTGCTGTTCAGCAGCTTGAAGCTCGACTTCTTCTTTAAAATAGCTGAGGTCCATGGAGTCAGCCCCGTCAAACGATCTTTGGGCATGATTATGAGTTCCATAGCGAGAGGCTTTAAAGTTGAGCTCCGCGCTAACGCTACGTCTACAGCCTCTTCAAACATTGAGGGGTGGACGCGGAATACTTCCATCCTCGCAGCCCCAGTACGAAGTCCTTCCATAGAAATGGTGACACGGACTTCTCCTGGAAAGGGTCCAGCTGCATGCAGCTATGAGAGTTCGCAACTCCTGGAAAAAGTCCAAGAATTCTTTCTTCCCCTGCCTGGCGGCAAGGTATCGGGAGCGTACACGGTACGCTTGATTTGGTGGGTGCAAATGGCCGAGAAATCTCTCGTTCAAGCGAATCCCATGTGGAAAACGCAGCGCATACCGATGCGTCACACGTCAGAGCCCATTCTCTTGCTCCACCGTCTAGTTTCAAAATGGCTAAGCCAACTTTGTGTTGATCAGATTGGAGCATCGCGGCATTAATAGCCATATCGATTTCTCGGATCCATAGAAGGAGACTCTTCCCCTCTTTCCCGTCAAAAGTCTTAGCGCTAAGAGCGAGCGGACGAGCCTTTGGATCACTGTCAGGTACTGGAATGTACCGTGTAGGTATCGCTGAGGATTAATATTAATGGGTCTGCCCGATCAGCGTGGTCTCAAACTGCGTGAGCGCATTAAAGCGTGCATTGTGCGCTTCTGGGCCTTGGGCCACATTGTGGTTGACCTGCTTGACCCTGATCCATGCTCTAAGCTTATCAAGCGCAAGACGTTGGGTCTCGGAGAGGTAGTCAAGACTCTGCATCTCTTTACAGAGGACCAGTCGAAAACGACTCAGGTAGAGGATTGACTACAAGTACTACCAAGTGTAGCGAAGCTACCACAGCTCTAAATTCAGAGAAAGACTTTACGGGTACAGCCAGTGGATGACGGTTAACAGTCAATTAGTTGTGAGGGCGAGTAGCCCATGAGTTCTAAGGATCTAATATATCAAGTTAAAGATTCGGCTAGTTCTACGGAACTAGCGCGGACTCTATGAGCTATTAGCTCAGACTAATGTAGCTCTAAGGAACTACACGCACAATGTGCAGAAGGGGAATACAGAAGTAAAAGGACTCTCTAACCCACGAAAGTTATAAGGAACTGATAAACGCAAGATGCGAAAGGGGGAAGTCTACGGACTTCTGCTCTGAATAAGAACTGAGTTTTTCAGATTGTATATTCAGGAATATTCTACTTTAAGTACCCTATATTAGAATAAACTAGAATCAATACAAATGTTAGTATTCGAACTAAATAGATGGTTGGCACATCACTCAGTCATCAGATGATAACGGTTCAAGGTACATCCTCGGTAATTACCTTAACTCGGAGAACACCGACTAATCCGTATTCTCTATTGGTATAAAATCTAAGGCCAGACTTGTCTCCCACATCACATATGGGAGGTCTTCGACCGATTTTGCTAATGGCTAGCTTAGTCCTGTAACATTTTTTACGTTGCGTTAGACAGTTCCCTATAACTTTCGTGCGCTAGAGATTCCTTTTACTTCTGTATCCCCCTTCTGCATATTGTGCGTGTAGTTCCTTAGAGCTACATTAGTCTGAGCTAATAGCTCATAGAGTCCGCGCTAGTTCCGTAGAACTAGCCGAATCTTTAACTTGATATATTAGATCCTTAGAACTCATGGGCTACTCGCCCTCACAACTAATTGACTGTTAACCGTCATCCACTGGCTGTACCCGTAAAGTCTTTCTCTGAATTTAGAGCTGTGGTAGCTTCGCTACACTTGGTAGTACTTGTAGTCAATCCTCTACCTGAGTCGTTTTCGACTGGTCCTCTGTAAAGAGATGCAGAGTCTTGACTACCTCTCCGAGACCCAACGTCTTGCGCTTGATAAGCTTAGAGCATGGATCAGGGTCAAGCAGGTCAACCACAATGTGGCCCAAGGCCCAGAAGCGCACAATGCACGCTTTAATGCGCTCACGCAGTTTGAGACCACGCTGATCGGGCAGACCCATTAATATTAATCCTCAGCGATACCTACACGGTACATTCCAGTACCTGACAGTGATCCAAAGGCTCGTCCGCTCGCTCTTAGCGCTAAGACTTTTGACGGGAAAGAGGGGAAGAGTCTCCTTCTATGGATCCGAGAAATCGATATGGCTATTAATGCCGCGATGCTCCAATCTGATCAACACAAAGTTGGCTTAGCCATTTTGAAACTAGACGGTGGAGCAAGAGAATGGGCTCTGACGTGTGACGCATCGGTATGCGCTGCGTTTTCCACATGGGATTCGCTTGAACGAGAGATTTCTCGGCCATTTGCACCACCAAATCAAGCGTACCGTGTACGCTCCCGATACCTTGCCGCCAGGCAGGGGAAGAAAGAATTCTTGGACTTTTTCCAGGAGTTGCGAACTCTCATAGCTGCATGCAGCTGGACCCTTTCCAGGAGAAGTCCGTGTCACCATTTCTATGGAAGGACTTCGTACTGGGGCTGCGAGGATGGAAGTATTCCGCGTCCACCCCTCAACGTTTGAAGAGGCTGTAGACGTAGCGTTAGCGCGGATCTCAACTTTAAAGCCTCTCGCTATGGAACTCATAATCATGCCCAAAGATCGTTTGACGGGGCTGACTCCATGGACCTCAGCTATTTTAAAGAAGAAGTCGAGCTTCAAGCTGCTGAACAGCAATGTAATATTCGTAGATGTTACACGTGCGGGAGCACCAAACACTTGCGTCCACATTTTCCGCTGCGAAAACCGTGTCAAAGTCGGCAGAGCCGCAATCCGTCTTCTAACCCGAAGATGGGCACGGAGCGGGAAAACGTCAAGTCCCAGTAGGTCGCCCCGCGCCTACTGGGGGGGGACTAGGCTCTGCCGAATTTTTAGGTGGTAGAGATAGACAGGGCTTAGCCCCATACGGACTCGTGGAGGCCGCCACGAGGCGTGAGTATAAGCTAGTCTTGCTAGTTGCATCGGATAATCTAAAGGGCTTCAAAGAGCCGTGGTCAATTTTGATTGACTCTGGGGGTCGGGCAACTTTGTTCGGCGCCAATCCCTTGAGGAATGTAAGCAGTACACTGAGGCGCTCAAAGTGCATGAGGGTGATGTTATCACTGTTCGCTTGGACAGGTACCCGTGTCACCGTACTTAAAGTTCATTGAACTTAGACGTAACATTTTTAGACTTCGATAGTATTGAACGTTGTCTTGTCTTTGATTTGGACTCGAGGTATGATCTCATTCTGGGGATGTCTTGGCTGGAACGCTATGAACCATGGGTTGACTTGAGGTCAAAGACCTTGGGCGCAACGCGCGACCTTTCCAGCGAAGCGTTGAAGAGTCATGAACCCACCTTTGCTAGGCAAAAAAGCGCTATTTGCGCGAGCCAATAAATGGGCATGTTAGTGTTCTGGACACTAGAGTGTCTGAGCTAATTATCTCTAATGTCATTAACAATATTGAAGCGGCACGTACTCCGTTGAGTGACACTGGTAATATTGAATCACTGAATGCTGGTAGCATTGATGGCCTTGAGACGATTCATCCTGGATGTAATCCCTGCGATGCGCGTGGAGTGGCACGTATAAATCCACCGGGTGGGGGAGGCTGAGACAGCTTCTCACCAAAAGTCGGTAATGACATTGTTGACAATATGCCAAGGCATCCAGGGCTAGCCCCGAATGGTGCATGTGCAGTGGCACGTACTCCACTGAGTGAGGTCGGTCGTGATGTAACCCCACTGAATGTCGCTAATAACATTGTTGGTAATTCACCAAGGCATCGAGAGCCATACTCATCTGATGCGAGTACAGTAGAGGATAATGCACCGAGTGAGGTCGGCCGTGATGGCACCACACTGAATGTCGGTAATGACATTGTCGGCGATACGCCAAGGCATCAAGAGTCAAGCTCATTCGATGCGAATATCGTGGAAAATAATCCACAGAGTGGGGTCGGCCGCGATGGCACCAAACATAATGTCGGTGATGACATTGGCTCTCAGATAGAGCATGTTGAGGTTGGAGTTGATCTTCAACTCGTGGAACCGGATGTTCCTAACACGTTGAAGTGTTCATTCTCTGTGCAGAGGCGGCAGTGACGCCATATGGCTGCTGCAAAACGAAAGGCGTCTGCCAAGTTCCAAGAGGACGCCTGTTAACAGTTGTACACATTGGTCAATAGGGTGACGGGCGATAATGATAGATAAATTGGCCTCGAGGCCCTTCCATCGCTTAACACTCTATTAGAGCTAGACGAAATGTCTTTAGAGAAATTTTATCAGTCTTTGAGGGCCGGTGCTTTGTCTAAAATGGTGGCCCTTAGACCTTACCTAGAGACAAACTCACCCTCCCTTTTGGATGAGATATTCCTCGACGACATTTAAGTTGCTCTTAGTGCTCGCAGTGAATCTGCTATCTTGAAGGATCATTCGGATCCCTTCTACTCCTATGTTTAGGGAATTTCAGGCTGTGGTGTGTAATGATCCACTATATACCCTACCTCCCGACAGAGGTGTGCGTCATGAGATTGACCTGGTTCCTGGGACCAAATATTATGTTACAAGGCAATGTCAGTTGCCTAAGGAACAGTGTGACGTCCTTGACGAGTCCTTTCGTGCAAAGCAAGCGTCTGGCATGGTGTTTGAGAGCAAGTCTTCGAACTCGACACCGAAATTTTGTGTCAGGAAGCCTAATGGTAAGCGGCGTATTGTCATGCTTACAATAAGCTTAACGCCGTGACTATACCAGCACATAAACCTGTTCCTAGAAAGGATGTTCTTCAGAACACTATTGTGGGATGTACCACGTTCAGCGCACCTAACTTGGTCGATGGGTATTATCAATTGCTCATACGAGCGAGTGATATTCCGCTCACATTGGTTAATACTCCAAGCGGCATGCTTTGGGAGTGGCTTGTCATGCCTCAAGGGCTATCTAACGCCCCTGCAAAGTTTAATCGTATCGTGACGCAGTTGTTCCGACCTCACCGAGGATATACACAAAGCTATTCTGACGACATTTTTGCCCATAGCCGTGCGGAACAAAGAAGGTTAGATGTGAGGAATCACATAGACCATTTACGAGCAGTGCTCGGGTGCATGCGCACCAACAAGTTGTATGCGAATGCATCAAAGTGCATATTTGGTGCTGAAAAATCCTCTCCCTAGGGTGCTTTACTGGAAGCGTGGCATGCAGGCGGATCCCGCTAAAGTTCAATACATTGTGGATTGGCTGGTTCCGTCAAACCAAAAGAACTTGCGAAAATGGCTCGGTTTAGCCAATTACTTGCGCAAGTATAGTGCGAATTACGCTGATATGGCAAGGCCATTGACAAACCTCCTCAAAAAGGATGCGGTTTGGTATTGGGACACAGTCCAGGCTCAAGCTTTCCAGGCTATCAAGGATAGCATCCTTTATGCCCCAAAATCGGCTTTGCCTAACCCGGAGCGACGATTCAGTGTCGTCTGTGACGCGTCCGATTTTGCCATTGGCAGTGCCTTAGTGCAGACAGATGTCGATGGTTATGAACGCGTCATCGCGTATGAGTCGCGCCAGCTAAAAGCTGAAGAAACGAAATATCCAGCTCATAACAAGGAGCTACTGGCAATGAAGTACGCTCTTGTCAAATTCAGAGTACACCTTCTTGGCTCAAAGCCTTTTGTGATCTATAAAAATCATGCGTCATTACGCACTTCGACCCAGTCGCCTCACCTCTCACAACGAATGGCCCGTTGGATATCAATCTTTGCAGAATATAAATTCGAGGTAAAGTACAAGCCAGGGAAGCAAAATGCTTTGGCTTACGCGTTGTCACGCAGTCCCGATTACGAGCTTGCTCATAA